AGCGAAATGCGCATTGAGCAAATGCTCGTGTGAAAATGGTAATCCATTTAGGGCCGCATTATGTTGTACATAAAACTTGATGAAAACAGAAAACTGTCGAATTTTGTGATGGATTCGTAATCTGAAAACTGTCGAATTTTGTGATGGATTCGTAATCTGAAAGCAACTGGAGTGCCAGCTAAAGCATTATCCACTGATGATTTATGTAAACAACAGAATGCCTGGTCTTTGGCGCTGGCGTTTGAAATTGCCTGAATCCATCATTACTGTCAATGATAATGTGCCAGTAATAGGCAGTCGTCCTTTGTCGCTCCGTCACCCTATTCCAAAAATTATGGAACCTCCGCGATGTTCAATTTGGTCGGCGGCGCTGGCAGGCTAATATACCGTCCATTTTCCTGTCAAGATTTTTTACGCGGATTGCAGAGATTTAATAACTTTGGCAAAGTGCGTAATAGATTTGCGTCCGCGACTACAACAGGGGATGAATGGTAATGATGAAGAGATGAGTGTTGGACACCCATGTATAATTTTTTTTGCATACACTGTGCACATGATTGTACTGTTAACTCATATATAACTTTTGAAATCTGCATGATTGTAATTGTCCGCATAGACCTACTTTATCAAATTCGATCTTTTTTCCCCTAGCGAACTTGCAACGTGTATATTTTAATGAATTTTGCTTGACTTTGTATATTTTTTTATTAACGAAATCTTTTCCCCCTTCTATTTTGGACGTCTACAAAATCTCCGGGAAAAAAACTCCGCCCGCGAATTGACTTGTTCCCGGTCCCTACATTATAAATTCTAATCGGGGCGAGAACCAGTCTACTCTGCGAGTAGTAAGTTAGCCTATTGCTGGGTCACAAACAACACGAAATTTGGCAAAGTAATATTATTCATAATCTCATATTTTGCCGTTTTTTGCGTTCGATGCATCGTTCAAAAGTGAACAACTTTGATTCGATGTTGCCAGAAAATAGCAATGTCAAAACTATATTTTAAGTATATTTTTCAGGTTGAAACTCGGCATCATTGTTTTGGTTTTGTTATTTTCTTTATCACATGTAAATAGACGTCGAGGTTACCTTTTATAAAATGGTTCTAGAAAGTGTTACAAATGTGCTTGACTCAATAATATAGTCAAGGATTTAAACAAACTATGGTGTTCCATATGTGCCAACGGCGTCGCCTTTTTTTTTTTGTTCGCATTTTTTTTTTTTGTTCGCATTTTTTTTTTTGTTCGCATTTTTTTTTTTTGTTCGCATTTTTTTTTTTTTTTTCGCCTTTTTTTTTTTTGTTCGCATTTTTTTTTTTTGTTCGCATTTTTTTTTTGGGGTCGCAATTTTTTTTTGGGTCGCATTTTTTTTTTGGCGGCGCATTTTTTTTTTTGGGTCGCATTTTTTTTTGGCGGCGCATTTTTTTGGGGGGCGGCGCATTTTTTGGGGGGCGGCGCATTTTTTGGGGGGCGGCGCATTGTTTTTTTTTGTGGCGTCGCCTGAAGAAAAATATAACAAGCAACTGTTTCAGCTCGGCTCAGCTTACTTCAACAAAACTAATGAAAGTAGACAAAATAATACTGAAACTTTCAAAAAGTATTACTGTAATTGTTGCTTTACAGAAAATAGCCTGCTGAGCTAAATTTTGCAGTATTCTAATGGAAAGTGATTGTACACAGGGGCAGGTACATAAATAGTTTGCATAGTGGCTGGTTTTGAATCTTGCCCCTATTTTGAAAGATGGTACCAGCCTCCCCCCCCCCCCCCACTATTTGATTTTACGGAGGCCAGGTGTACGGTGAAAAAAAGTGCCAACATCAGCAGAAAATGTAGCCCCCCCCCTCAAAAAAAGTGTCCCTTTTTGGTGATGCCCCACCCCCCTTTTCAATTACGAGAGCCTTAGAATTTTGAATCCCCCCCCCGCACCTGAGTTACACATTTTGCAAGTGGTTACAGCTGCTTTCATGATCATTCCAACCTCTAACTCTTCTAAAGCAGGCTCTGTCTGTGGGCACAGGCGTATTAATAATTGTTTTTGGGTGTCAGAGTAGGGGGGGGGGGGGCGGAGTTAGCGTTAATTTTTTCCCAGGCATTTCTTTGGAAATGGACATATAGCCCCACTTGTGTGGCCTCCGTATTGCTGAGCTGTACGTTTAGGCCAAACGTCTGGTTTTCCAACAGTACTGAGGAGTTTAGTCCAAACACTGGCGCACCCTTTTTTTTTGCTTTTTTTTTGCATACCACTTTATATAGTTGTATTCTATGATTTCTCAGCTTTTGCCCTCCGGGTAGATTAGGTAATCTTTGTGCCAATTTTTCTGGAAATTTGGGCATCTTCCTGGAGTCCATATGCGCCAGTTTGGACTAAACTCAGTAGGTTGGGAAACCAGACGTGCGGCCTAACGTACATCGCAGCAATACCGAGGCCACACAAGTGGGGCTGGAAATGGACAGAGATGTGGAGTTTGTTTACCCCCCCCCCCAGCCACGCCTTGAACAAAAGGAAATAATGTTGCAACCTGACGCTGCTTTTTTTTTTATTCATATATCATCTCAATGAAGGTCACTCATTGCAAAAAAAACGATGATATGACATGAATCTGGGACTGAGAAATATTTCCAATTTTGTTAGGAAATAAGTAAAACAAATTCTTGACTCTCCAAACACTTTGTACACAATAACTGCTGAAGTAGCGTCACTGCAGGTTGCAGCAGTCTTTCCCATTGCGCGAGTCTGCGGTTCTGCGTGATCAGTCGATAGACGCGATATTATCAGTGGATCCATCGCATCACCGGCTGTCGATTGATCATGATGTATCAGTCCAACCCGCTGCCTCAAGCCGAATACAACAATTTTCTTTCTCATCCTACTACTGTGGACTGGACGCGATCGACCGATCGCGCAGATCTACCGATCCCGCTAGTCCCTACATAACATGAATTACACTTTACAGATCCGGGAGGGAGTATATTTCAACACTTATTCCACAGCACTTTTCCCCAACAGACTATGAATATATCGTTTTTCCTAATCATTACATTTAAGTCGGATCACAAACAAACCTAAATATCTGCAGGATCTAGGGCACTGGCGTACGGTCCCACCGCTGTGGCTGCAGTGTCAGTAGTACCGGGGCACGCCGTATTCCTTCAACGCAGGCGCGGTTCTACGGGTGGGCTAGGGGGGCGGGGGCTGTAGCCTCCCCCCCCCAATTTTTTTTTTTTGTCTAGCCCCCCCCCAAAAAAAAATAAATTCCGTACAAAAAAAATGGCATTAGCAAAAAAAGGATTGTGATGTACATGCGAACGGTCTCCCCCTAAAAGAAGAAATAGCCGTGACAAGGGTGCATTAGTTAATACAGGTATCACAAGTCCTAAGTTCCCCCCAACATTATTCTTAATTAATGAAATAGAAATGCACGATTTCAACAATATCCCAAATGCAAATGACAGAGGACACTCTTCTGCCCATCTTGTGAGAAAATGATAGAAATCCAATCACGCATACCAACACGAAGCTCATTTGAATGAAAAAAGTGCCAATAAAAAAAGTTGCAGTAAACAGCATTGCTCCAATGTACTGGTTTGAGTGATCCTGCAAGGCAGGGTAGACTTTCATTAATTAATAACTTTACCTTACAACAGTTTCCTTGTTTAAAAGGATGTTTAACTAAAACAAGACGCAATCTTGGTAATCTAACAGATAATTGCAGACCTTTTAATGCAAAGATGACAAAGAAAATGCTGTGTAATCCTATTACTTTTAGATTAGATACAAAAGGGATTAACATTCTACCTTTTAAAGCATGATCAAACCAGTACATTGGAGCAATGCTATTTACTGCAACTTTTTTATTAGCACTTTTTTCATTCTAATGAGCTTCGTGTTGGTATGCGTGATTGGATTTCTATCATTTTCTCACAAGATGGGCAGAAGAGTGTCCTCTGTCATTTGCATTTGGGATACTGTTGAAATCGTGCATTTCTATTCATTAATTAAGAATAATTTTTGGGGGGAACTTAGGACTTGTGATACATGTATAGGGTGAATGAGTTTAGGATTTTATTGGCGCTCCCCATTGAAAATATGGCATTAGCCCCCCTCCCCCCCCCCCCCACTTATTGATTTTCGGAGGCCTGGATCCACCGTGCTAGCCCCCCAAAAATATTTGTTCTAGAACCGCGCCTGATTCCTTGGTATTCCCAGACATTACATGGGCATCACATGACCGGCACGTGGACACGTGACCCCCCCCCAAAAAAATGCGACGCCTAAAAAAAAATGCGCCGCCAAAAAAAAATGCGCCGCCAAAAAAAATATGCGCCGCCAAAAAAAAAATGCGCCGCCAAAAAAAAAATGCGCCGCCAAAAAAAAAATGCGCCGCCAAAAAAAAAATGAGCCGCCAAAAAAAAAATGCGCCGCCAAAAAAAAACATGGGACCAAAAAAAAAAATGCGCCGCCAAAAAAAAGGCGACGCCAAAAAAAAAATGCGAACAAAAAAACAAAATGCGAACAAAAAAAAAAAATGCGAACAAAAAAAAAAATGCGAACAAAAAAAAAAAATGCGAACAAAAAAAAAATGCGAACAAAAAATAAAAATGCGAACAAAAAAAAAATGCGAACAGAAAAAAAAAATGTGAACAGAAAAAAAAAATGCGAACAAAAAAAAAAATGCTACGCCGTTGGCACATATGGAACACCATAACAAACAGTATTTTAGCGATTAGGGACTGACGAATACATGTAGCCTAGGTAACGCGCCACTGTCGACAAGGTTTACCGTTCTGATTGGTCGATAAGGTTTACCGTTCTGATTGGTCGATAAGATATAACCAGAAAATAGCGTATTCGGTCTTCTGTATTGCGAAGAGCTTGACAGAGAGGAGGGAATTATCGCAACGGTAGTATCGGAGGAAGTGGAATGGTAACATACAGTTTCATTGATTCAGATGCGCAATCGCGAGATTATCGTGTGAGCACATCACGCAACGAGCATGATGGCTGATCCTACCAAAGAGACGGCCGTAGGGCACAACTACTTCACCGACGACGATAAGTATCTGTTCCTACTGATGGTAAACAGCTTGGTTTTCTTTCTCGGAGTGCCTGGTAACTGCCTCATCCTGCGTGTTTATTGGACCAAGATCCGTAAGACCAGCACCCACGTTCTTATCATGGCCCTGGCTTGGGCTGATCTGTATGTCTGCTTACTAAGAATACCCATGATCATTTCTTTAATTTTATATCATTCTGCAGCCGATGACCGTGAAACATTTGCAACTGTTTTAAACTTGACTCTGTGTTCGGAATGCACAGGGTTGATCACATCCCTACTGATCACAACGATCATAGCAGCCGATCGCTACGACTGCATTTGTCGCCCTCGCAGGCGTTTCTTCACTCCCAGAAGGGCCAAGGTCATTGTCAGTGCCACCTTGCTTTTGTCGTGTGCCATAAATATCCCACTTATCGTTGCCACAATAACATCCTACTCGCTAACACTGATTATACTGACAGTGACGTTTCTCGCGGCTTCGTATGTAATTGCGCTGGTGACGATGATTGTGTTTTATGTGAGAGTCTACGCAAAGATCCGAAAACATGTCAAAGGTGCCGTCCCCACACCCCCGGTAGATCACAGAGATGACGTTGCTCATGTTCCCAAACGCGAGACGAATAGAGAGATCCGGCCCAAAGTTGCATCGGTTGATATGCCAGTGGTCAACAATGCTGTCTCATCATCCGTCGATCGACCGACTTCGAACACATCCCGTGGCAACACCGTCGACAACCTTCAGTCGAAGAATCAATCAAAGATCTGTGCTGCCTCTGCCGTTCATGATGTTTACGACGCTATGTCCAACTGTCCTGGCACATGTTCTACCAAAGCGTTCATCACAAACACGACGAATAGTGTTGCACTTTTGCCACCAGTTGAAATGCCCATGCCTGATTTGCTTCAGAAAGTTGCCGCAAATGGGAACAAGCTACCTGGACCGGTTGGTGTTGGTACTGGAGGGGAAGCAACTCAGCCTGTCGTGAGTGGGGACAGACGCCCCCACCTTCAGCTGATGAGACACGCCCCAAAGAAGGTCGGTGCAGCAGTCCTACAGCGCAAGACGACCAGAATGCTCCTCGTCACAAGTGCAGTTTTTCTGGCGACGTGGCTGCCATATTTACTTCGTGTCACTGCTCAATTCGCTGTTATGAGCGGTGTAGAGCACATCAACAACCTTTTTCTCGAAACAACAGAGTATCTTGTGGCGTTATTATTTGTGAATAATGTCGCCAATCCGCTGATTTACGGGGTTGCAAATCGGCGATTCAGAGAAGACTGTAGGAATGTGATGAGCAAAATGAGGGCTAGGTGTTCTTAAAAAAGCTTATCATGTTATGGAACACTCCAAGATATCGAAATCGAATTCAAGATATCGCGAAAACTGAGTCAAGATCTCGAAATCGATTTCAAGCTATCTGAAAACATTTCGAGATATCTCTTAAAAATTTAGAGAAATCACTATTTCTCTACTCAAGATATCTCAATATGTTGGTAGAGATACCTTGAAATCATTTATAGATATCTCTAAACGCATTTTATTTCATCTTGAATTGATTAGGTGTCATGGGGACCATACTTCTGGAGCTTATTAATCGACGCGGAAGGATGCACCCCTGTATTCAAATTCTCATAGACGCAAGTGCTAAATGCCCATTCTTTTTGAAGTACTCAAAAGTCTCACAGGTATTTAAGCTGCACAGAAAAATGATGATCAACATGTCATCTTTCATTTTTCTTTTCAAATTTTGGTGGGTTGACCATTGACTTTTCGAGGCATTCTCAAAATTGGAAAAAGTAGCCATCTTAAAAAACGATCCCTAGTCCACAACATGGCAAAATAAAGCCACTTTCGAGCCCAATTGCATGATCCAAAATGCTCAGACTGGAAGCCCCAAGTCCGGGCCAGATAGGTGCATTGCTAAATCATTCTCTTCAATTCCCCAATGGCTCTTGAAACTGTCTAATTTGGCATATTTTGAGGGTATAACTCTTATGAGCTCGGCGGATGGTGGGTTTAGGCCTACTTACAGGCGTGCATGCACCCGGAAGAGTTCAACCTCGCTTTCATTCCAATATGGCGTATACATAGTACACCACATGCCCATCAGGTTGCAGACCAGTAAATCGGTCTGAAATTGCCTACGCCGGCCCGAATCACGATTTGCATGTCCTCAAAATCTTCAGTATTTGAGCATGCTGTGGGCCATTAACTTGAGGGTTTGTAAAAAATATGGGTGGAAGCCGTGCACAGGACTGTGAGCTTGTATAGTTCCGTTCAATTTGGATGAAATTGTGGCCCTTAAAGCGCTCTATTTTGCAATGTAGTGTAGTATCGTTTCTCAAAATAGTGATGGGCTTCAGGACTATTTTCAGGGGTGATCATCTCCGGATGGAAATTTCTCCTAAAAGTCATTAGTTGACCCCCCGAAAATTGAAAAGAAAATGAAAGATGATGAAATAAGCTTTAATTTGATGTGTGTCTCGAACACCTTGGAGAGTTATGAGTATCATTTTCCCGAATTTCTGAAGTGGGAGCATTTACCATTGGGGTCTATGGAAGTTTATTTACTGGTCTGCAACCATCAGGTTTCTCTCACGTGATATGTTTCACGCATGCGTATTATCTGCAGAAGAAACATTTTGCTGACGGAACTTCGCCGAATATTGCTGGTGAACCTCACACGTACGTACGTACGGTATACATGTATAGAAATAAGTAGGCCTATACTGTTCAGCCGCATGAGGGCACTGTGGCATGCTCTCCCCGGGAGACCGTCGTTCACAATGCGAATAATTTTGTTTGCTCTAAACGAGACCTGATGAAAATCACAGCCTTTTTCTGAACTTTAATTGATTAACGTGTGACAGGGCCTGAATAAAAAACGAAAGGCCGAATAAAAAATCAACACATTAAAAGCAGTAGATAATGTTTGATATTACCGGATACCAAATTATATTCCCTTAATCTTATTTTTTAAATTTCTCGGTTCATTTATAAAATAACAAACAAATGACACTTATTATTTTTAAAATGATATCAAGGGGTACTATTATATTTGTATGTTGTGGATTTTTGCATAATTGAGTTCAAACTGGGAACATTGTTCTATCAAGAGTAATCTTATTTGTAACCGCGGCTTGTCATATCACTACAACAATTTTCATCTTAGTCATTATTGTATTTGTCAATAGATGTGTGTTGACTGATGAACAATAATTTATATTATCCCTGGGAATCCTGGGATAAAAAAAATAAGCATAGGGAAGGTTAAGGTTCGCAAAACATTTAAAAGTGTTTAAAAAAAAAAATCTGTCATAATTTTATGCTTTATCATATTCTATTTTGCACATCCGCATGCGCTTTCTCACAGAATGTTGTTGGCCAGGGGTGCGGTATAAACCAATAAGGGGGAGGTGAGGGGGAGGGGAAGCGGAACCACCCCCCCCCCTCACCCAACAAGTGACTTTCGTTTAGTAATTAAACCAGAGGAGAAGTTCAGACGACTTCTATACCGATACTTTATTCCTGCCTTTCCATCTATAGGATTTGGGAAATACTAATCAAACTGCAGATAACAAAAACAAAGGAAAAGGAGCGCCCTATAGTGTCAAATAAGGTCTAACTCGCTCCTTCTTTTTTAACATTTCAAACCGACCCCCCCCCCCCCCCGAAATAAACCCCATAAGATGTACTCCCAAAACTGGCCCATCCAATTAGCCAGTAATCTATGGAATATCTTCCTGCGCAGCAAGAGTATAATGATATGCAAGCAGATTCAGAGATACTTAATGCAAATCTTGCTTCTTGACCTCGAGATCTGACCATTCAGCGGGCGTCTTATTGGGTCTTCGGTTACCCGTTGTTGCATTGCAAAACATGGCGTCCAAATTGACCAAATCACAGCTTGGTCCACATTACTAATCGAACTGACATCACAGTTTCTAAAGACCACTCCGGTTTGACTGGCGTGCGGGGTCGCGTAAAATGCTACTATGGAAGTTATACCGTGGAAGTAATTTTATGATCATTATTTGGGGGAATTTTTTTTGGAGAAAATTAGCTTTCCGCTGATTAATTATGCAAGACAACTAAAAACCCTAACCTAGACACAGCAACAAAGGCTTTGGTCACGCGCTCTGAATTATGTTATGCGATACTCGCCCGGCTGTTGTATGTTGTATTACAAAACACTGCATTCGAATTGACCAATCAAACATTTAGTCCTGATTTGGGAATGAATGATGTCACGATTTAGTAAAGTCGACTCCGCCGCTGGACGCGAGATCGCATAAATCTGCATGTTTTCAGCCATGTGGTTGTGAAGGGCGATTTCTAAAGGTCACGTTAATACGTAACACTTTATTTTGACTGAAACTACATGTATACAGACATGTTCACACTGCAGGCGGGCGAAATCTTTGAAAATTAATTTCTCCCGTTTGGAAGACCGTATTTCCATGCAACATTTAGTGTTCAACTATCGTGAAATAACAAGTTGAGTAGATTCTTAGAAATTGGTATAAATAGGCCCTACATAGACTTGGGGAAGTTTTCGAACGATTTCTTCCAGATTTGAAGGTCAGTTTTACCAGTAACCAGTATTGACGTTTCGGCATCGACGACGGCGATTTTTTTCACTGACATGAAGTTTAGAATGTCGTCTTCCGTTATAATTTAACATTTCAATCATTCTGAGCTTATTTTCTGAGAAACACAATGTTCAAAAGGCCATGTTTTGGGGTTTACGAATTTCACTGCCATGTTACATCGTCCATGGAGGAATCTTATTCCTCCATGCATCGTCTAAAATGGAATTAGGCTTTGCTTGACAACTGGCTACACTTCGCCTTCGCAACCATTATGGCTGCTTTGATTCACAGATGTTAGTAGACAGGAGAGTGGGCTCCCGTGGATAACGAGTGATATTTGCACTGGCGTGGGGATAATCATGGTGGCTCCATGGAGCTATAAAAAGCTCCATGGTGGCTCGAAGTGGGCGGGCTGGAAGAAGGGGGTTAGGGCCTGCCGGACAAGAGAAGCAAAACAGTATTCTCTAAACATCGATGCTGTATACATTTTTCTTTTCCTCCTCGGTCCGCTAAATATTACAAATAAAGAAACAAAATCATTGAGCGCCCTGGCGTGAACGCTATAGCTAGGTCCCCGCCCCTTCTAATGTTGGACTCTACAGAAATCTCCTTCTGGGTCCGGCAGTGGATGGGGGAGGGGTGATGGTCACTCGGAACAAGATGCGCACAATTTCTCGGAGACTTGCCCGCTGACAGATCGAACCACGCCCCCCCTTAGCTGCCCATCCTTCCAAACCCCGTCGATCACATTATGCATCGTTGATCTGGTCCGAATGCATCGTGGGAATTAAATTAATAATGCGTGGGCTTGAGTTCAAAGTTCATAGCCGCAGAGCGCGCTGGTAGACTTTATTACGAATTCATACATTTTTCAGATATTAATCAGCACGGCAGATACAAAGACTGTTGGTTATTTATGTCTAAGCAATTAGTTTTCCAAAATTTCTGTTGAAAATTAATAAAATGTACGCCCAAACGACACTTAGGGACCCTGCTGTACATTTACCGACTTGAAATAAGTCTAGGCGCTCACGGGGCAATTTTATTTATCTGCACCATTGTATAGTCATTGTATAGTCCATAAGGGTACAGACGCTGACATTTTGATTCTAAAAGAAATATTGTGCCTTTATTATTTAATGGAAAAATAACGTCAAAATAATGATTTCATGTAGATGTAGATACGAACAATATTTTGCGCAACCATTTCGTCCAGTTTATCGGTGCTGTAGGCATGTGTGATTCATTGGTGACATAACAAGGGTGTAGAAAAATATGTAGGTTCCAGTCGCCGGGTAAGCTCGCAACCCTGCACGTACGCCGCGCTGTGTGAAGAAGGCGGACCGAAGTGATCAGTTCTTCGGCAGAATTTGCACCCAATTCCTTCTTAAATCGCCATGGCAGCAAAACCAACGACCGACGTGGAAAGACTGAAGCAGATCAGCGTGCGAGGGATAGCTGAAGTGGAAGATGTTGCCAACTTCAAGACCTCGTTTAATCGACATCTTCATTTTAGGTGAGCTCGACCATTTTGTCCATTGAGCTTTAAAAAAGGATGGCTCGACCAACATACATGTTTTTGTACATAAATTCATCATGATCATGCATGATCGATCCTGCACACAAGCTTCACTGCCGCAGCAATCCGCAGCTGGTGCAGGGGGGGGGGGGCAAAAGAAGGGTATGAATACAAACTCTGAGGCAAAAAAATACTGCTTGCAATAGTTGCATAAAGTTGGGAAAGATTTCCATAAGAAGTTCACTCAACACTCTGTGTACAAACCCTATGAGAGTGGACTGAAAAATTCTAAGTGTTTTCCAAGAAAATGCTTGTATTTCCTCACTGCTCAAATTGACTTTGATGACATGAAATTGCTATCTGGGGGCTTGTTAGTCAATACAGAGGAAAATTAGCGAACTTCGCATATGGTAATCTTGCCTAAAGTTGCAATTTCCATGAATCCATGGAGGTAGACTCTGCAGAGGTAGAAAGAATTGATGTAGGCGTATCCAGCATGTCCTAGACGTAGCCCGACTGCATCTGGCCATACAGTAGTCACTATTATCGCAAGCTCTGTACTAGTACGTACTACAGAGCTTGGGATAGTACTGTACAGCCAGATGCAGTCGGGCTAGTCCAGACGCCACCTCTTGCGGTTGTCGTGTAGTGTAGGGCCCGGTTCCTATAAGTTAACTATAGGCTAAGTACTATAAAGTATATAAGGGAACAAAATCCACTTTAAAATTATTAGAGCTACCAAACTAGTTGGCGACATTCCCAATATACAGGTATGACATAGATAGAGGGCAGGGTTTTGATTTTTGAGGGAAATTTGGGGGTAAAATGACGATGACAGCGCGGCGACAAAAGGCAGCCCGAAAATAAAGATGGCGATCACCGCGCGATGTACTCGCAAGGCACAAACCGCGCAGGAAAATCGTGATTTCTACCCCAAGAATCTGTTCAAAATTGTAAAACGGGTGTCATTAGAATTGAGAAAAGTCTGCTTTTAATTGTAAAGGTGTTTTTTGAGCAATAAAAACATTTTTGACTCTAATTTAATCTAAACAAAACAGGGGCCCTACACTTCACAATCGCCTTTCTTTCTTTGGACTTTGGTTGAATAGGCCCCCTATGGAGAGTCGAGTGCTTTCAAAGTATTTTTCGGAAAGAATTCCATACTGGATCACCACATACCTGCCGCCAAACACATCAATTTTCACCTCACATTGTGATTTCACCCAAGATGAATCCAGGAAGCCTAGGCAATGCGAAAAAATTTCAGGAAAAAATGTGTTGTTAGAGCACATTTTGGATGCACACGTCGTGCAGAATTAAGTTGGAGGCAGCCGGTCAAATTGATTGAAGTGTCTGGAAGACAGCAGTACCGGTACGTTATACGCATGACATTGACAACCATGACAATGCATGAGCCGGCCAATGATAGTGCAATACGTCATTATGAATATTTAATTTCTCATGAATATTTAGTTTATTTCAATGGATACTTCAAATACGTCATTGCAAAGAGATCGTGCGCGGCCTAGCGGTAAAAGTTGTGTTTCAAGCAAGAAACAATTGATAGGCGCATTAGTTTTAACATTCTGACTTCAGTATAGGACTAAAGATATTTATAAATTTGCAAGGCACAACTCAATGTGCTACATGTAGTGCATTAGTGATCACTGTTTTCATCCTGGCATCTTGTATGTTATATTCCTCTTCAGAAGTACATAAAGCTTTGACATGAATACATGATTTAATTGAGAATGAAACCCAATTTTGTATCAATATATTTCTTGTCAACAGCTTGGTGAAAGATCGCAATGTTGCAACTCAGCGTGACTACTACATTGCCCTGGCACACGCAGTGCGAGATCACCTAGTGGGGCGTTGGATCCGAACTCAACAGTACTACTATGAGAAGGATCCCAAGGTAAACAAAAACAAATGGAGATTTTCCTCCGTATGGCCAGATCCAGACTGGCACACGCTGAAAAACATGCTCAACAAAATCAGGCCAACTTTACTCACTCTTTAGCCAGCAACAAAATTTCATCGGGCAAAGAAAAGGTCCTCAGTATTTCACCACCCAAGTTTGAAGACTAAATTCAAATTTTAAAGGAGACTTTTCTTCAATATTTTGCACGTGAGAGGGCGGACACTTGTGCTCTTAAGCAAGGCACTTAACCATTATTGCTTCGTCCTTCGGATGGGACGTTAAGCCGTACATTCAGGTCCCGTGTGTTGTATAAATGCACGTAAAAGAGCCCAGTAAACACTTATCGCTAAGAGAAGGGGTTTGCCTCGGTGTTTCTGGCCTCCTGTATAAACTCCCACGTGGAGTATTTAGGAGAAGAACCAACCAAGAACCAAGAACCAAGAGGGAAGTTAAGTGATTTCAAAATGAGGCTAAAGAGTAGACTTGTACATGTCCAACCATTGTCCAACTAATTGAAAAGACTGACCTCTTCATTCCTTGTCATTTGTCTGGTGGCTGACTATGGAGAAATGTGTAGAAATAGAGACTAGTACCAGACATTCCAGATTTTTTTGGCACAGTTGATTGATTGATACAGTATTGAAGGGTAGTTGGACTGGTTGTTTCAGGTGCCAGTCTATTTTCGTGTATTGCACGTTTTCAATACCTTAAGTTTTGGGACCCTCATACACAGTATTCAGAGTCCCAAATTTTCGGACTGGGCCAGATCACTTTAAATCAAAGTATCCAATGTGCCTGAAAACAAAGTCCAAAGAATCACGGAAATGACTTGACATGGTAAGTATTTATTTTGTGCAGGTGCTTATTCACTTCCTTTGTCAACTTCCCATTATTTGGAGCCCGGTAGGAATGGTCATCATGTCATGCATCAGGAAATAGCCCTGAAAATCTCAAAACCAAAGAAAAGAAAGACCCGTGTATTAATCCAAGGATTTTATGATAGCATTTAATACTGTACATGGGCGTAGCCTATAGATGTGTATGAAATGTACAGACAATTTTTATTGGTATGAAATTTGTTGGGGACTTTTGAGTGTCCCCAAAGAATGGGTTTTTGTCCCCACAAAACCTGTTGTACAACTTACAGTTCTATGGGCCTCACAACTTGCAAAAAAAAAGAAAAAGTGTATAGAGTGTTTGCATTGCAGCCATCTTTGAGGGGCAATAGGGCTACCGGTACGCATGAGTAGACCTCTTGCACTTTCATTGTGACTGAATTAAAAAACACAGCAAAGATCGTTGCTGAACATAAAGGGTAGATACAAGAATGTTATGCCCCCAATTACATTTATAGTTAGTAGCATCCTCCCAGATATAGTTTGGACTGTCCAAAGTATAGTTGGGATGGTTCGAATATTGGGATGGTCCCAACTATGTCCCAACTATAGTTGGGACCACTGCTGTAGTTGGGGTGTATGTAACACCTACAGGTACAATTTTGAATGATTTTACGTTTCCAATATCAGTAAGCCTTCAAAGTGAAGGAGTAATCCTTTGAATGTGTACATAGGCTTGATACTGTGGGAGAATTGATTAGACTATTGGCCGTAATTGTGGGTCAACTGGATACATATCTGCTGCATTGAGCTGGCAGTGGCTTAGTAATGATGCATCTGTAGTGCACAAAGGAGTCTTGAAAACCAAGACCTTGTATTGCATAGGGTCCGATTTCATGGTTAATGCTTAGAAGAACCGTGGTGTTGCAGCAAGAAAGTTGTGCACAGACACAAATGCTTGGCCACTCATGGGGATTTCAAACTGTGCCTCTAAAGTTAGCGTGCACTCTGTTGTGCTTACTGCTTACTGTCAAATAGACAGAGGTTCCTTAAAACAGAAAATTGTGTGCTTTTTAATTAGCAGCGGCGTGAAATTGGGCCCCGGCCAACATTGCAATGAACATGATAAAGCTGAACCCAATGTAATTGAAACCCAATGAACTGTTTACAGGTCAGGCGGTAAGTCTTCTCAGTTCTTGAGAAATGTACACGCGGGCCATCAAACAATCCTCTCATGGTTGACCAGCTATTCCTTTCTTTTGGAGTGGGGGCGGGGGCGCGCGGAGAGGGGCGTGGGGCTGGAATCGCATGTACCAGTAGGGCAATACATTGTTGATCAGTGTTTCGAGGAAGTGAAAAAGTTAGTGTGTTTGTCTGTTTTTTTTTCCTTCACGGAAACTGTATTGACTTATGTGTGAGATTCGCTAACTAAGGATTAATTTGGGCCCATGCCATGATTTTGTTTCTAAAGAGAATTTATTGAATAGACCCTTGTATTCCAATTGAAACACCTTTTTGTTTTAAGATTCTCATTGAGCAAACGTGTACAAAATGTTAAAGTTACATGTAAATCCGTGCAAATATGTGGGAGAAATGTTAAATTAAAGACACAGTTCATATTGCCATTTTGAGGGCTCTTGTGCCTTTTTGGTTTTATGCCAAAGCAAATTTCCATATTCATGAGCTAAACTGTGATGTCATTCAAGGTAGGAACTTCAGTTTCACATCTGCTTCAGAATTAAAAGTCTCCGGAATTTTAGGGATTTGCTGTGGTTCTTTTTCTGCTTTCTGTGGTTAATTTTTGTTTTAGTGTATGACAGAAAGACAGTGAGAACACTTTATGCACAAATGTTTTCAAAAAGCAGAATTTTGGGAAAAAAAACTAATCTTGAAGAGTGGGTCCTAAAGTGACATCACAGTAACAGTGCCCTAAGTTGGCAGGAAAAGCATGAAACATTTTAAATGTTTAAAAAAAAGTGCAATTTGCAAAACAAATTTACCAAAAAGGGATGTCTCATAGTTTTTATACATTTCAGAGGAATGGATATTTGCTACAAAAATGCTCCAGTGTAAAATTAATTTCAAGGACCTTTAACGTAATAATGTTACAATGTACATATACTGCACACTAGAGAAGTATGGTAATGTCCAATATGGTAATGTCCAACCTCGCCCCCAGGGTGTCGAGCAGTACGCGCCCACCACTTTCTGCTTTCTCACCCTGGTATTGGATCATTTGCATGTGCTAAATTTTTGCACATGTATGTTTAAAGAGGCTCATTATGGTGCCTGCATGTGAGTTACATTAGCGTTTGTCTAAAGTTGTACATGTATGTGGTGTCTGGGGTAAAAACAGCATCAATTCGTTGTGGCGTGAGCATGGCGTGAGTTACGAAAACACAATTTTTTTTTCAAAATTAAAATGTAACAATCTTATCCAGACAATGTGCAGTATCACATTTCATATTAATATGAACAAATTGGAAAAGAAATGATTATTTTTAAGAAGGTGTGGACGTAATAATTACCAAAACGTGAAAACACGTAATGCGTGTTGGAAATAACAACACCAAGTACAGGATATAAATCCATTATGGTATCGAGTCAGGATACAGGAAGAAAGTTTGCTATCCAGGGCTTACTATTGGAAACGCAGTTGGAAATAAAGTAAGCACTGGGGACGAGGTTGGGTAAGGTCATGAATAGCTAACAGCCAAAAAGGGCATACATGACCTGTACAGTGTAATAAACATGTATAAAACCCTGTTGTATCGTGCAGGCATTTATAAGCCAGGTGACACATACCAGGGTAAATTCATTCAAATGGGTTGCTTTTCCACAGTGAGGATCGCTAGGTGTCAAATGTCATGTATTTTATCAGTGATTGAATGATAAAATTCCTCAGACCAAGTGATACGTACTTACAATGTCTGTCTATTTTAGTATTGTAAAGTCTGTTCAAAAGGTTTTTACTAGGCTGTGAACACTTCAGCCAAAGACTTTCTGCATGCATAAATACATGTACGGTATATTATGAACATACTCAGCAGTCAGCACAGAAAGTTCTGAATTGACTTAATTTAAGCCAGCTGGTGTACATGTTTTAGGCCAAAACAAATAATAGTTCTGCTTCCGGTTACCCTATCTACTCTATTTTGACAGCCCCTACCCTAATTCTTTTTGGGAAAAATGAGGAAAAACTACCTTTTACCCTTGACTACATGCAGACACCTCCACATGATCCATTTATTAAACATATAGCCCAGTTGACCTTACATGTACTTTGAATTTCAAATACATTTATGTACACGGGCAGACTAAAAATGAAAGGCTGACTACCGGTATGTCTCACGTCATACTGCCAAACACTGCGCACATAACATAGGCTACAGTGCGCATGCCACGGATACTTGTCTCATTGGCTTGAAATGCTGAGCAGTATAGGCTATGAGTTGACCTCTACATGTATATCAGACCATGGCTGGTGTATTGCCATTAGCCTAACCATTTGATATTTGTAATGAATACCTGGCCAGATGAAAAACATGTTACACTCTAGCCTACACGTACCTGCACCATGCACAGGGCAAAAAATGAACGTTGCAAAAATGAACCTTAATCCCAGATTGAACATGCCCGGCCAAACCAGTGCTTCAAATTTCTCACAGTAACATTGATTCCTAGTGTTGCATTCTCAAGGCTGATTTTGAACAAGTTCATGAATGAATTTGGGATTATGATGATTGTGGTTACTTTTAAGCATTAGGCCTAGGCAAACAAAAAGGTCTGTTTCAAAATAGGGTAGGTCGGTAGGCAATTTTCTTTTTTTTTGGGGGGGGGGGATTTTTCTTGTGTATGATCATATGGAGGTGTCTGCATGTAGTCATCAATGGTAAAAGGTACTAATTGATGATTTTCTGTTTTTTTCCTTGTTTCCCCCCCCCAAAAAAAAAATTAGGGTAGGGGCTGTCAAAAAACCGCAAGCAGAACTTTTATGTTCTTTGGCCTTACTTTTCAAAATACTGATTAACATTATATTATATGATAAATCATTTTCAAATAAACAAGCATCATCATTGACATTTTTTTAAAAGATATATGTTTCATTGTTGAGGTCTCAGTGTAGTAATTTTTTTTTCATAGTCATCATCAACACTAGAAATTCACTGGAATTATTGTCTGTATTGGATTTTACATGTAAAAATGTACCTTGAAAATAAGATCTTATTTTGAAATAGTTAACAAACCCTTAAAAAAAAACCCCCAAATGTTCACCTATGTGATGTTCAGTTAGCCATAGACTGTGTACAATGTTCTATCAAAAAGTATCATTACACATAATTTACATTGCATCTTCGTCTCTGTGAAGTTCATGTCACATACTTTCCCATCGAGCTGTCTGCCTGAAATACATTACGTTCTTTGGCACAGAGCGGGAATTGATTACTCTATATTACTAGTGCTGCTGTATCATCATGACCCAGATCTTATTGTCCAGAGTGCTCAACCGCAAAGACTTAAATTGATCAAGTTTAATTCCTGTGAGCTAGATAATGTGCAAGCGTCATTACAAATTTGTCTTCCATCAACCCCATGAAGTAAAGATGCAAAAAGTCCCCCAAGACATGAGAGAAACTACCGGTACATGTAATTTTTATAAGCCAGGACATGTGTCTGTGTGTGCTCCAACAAGTTATTGAATTTGTTGGGGTTATAATTACCCTTTCAAATGTACATGTGTAATATATTTTGTTCCGTTCAGGAACAGGTGAACACATTTAACCTTTAATTAATGTGAATTGCAGATTACGGTTCTTCCACTGGACCTTCTGGTATTCAGAAACTTGTTCATGTACATTATTCACTCTCTTCCTCGTCCATACATGTTCCGATACACATGTGCATTTGAAAACAAGTAGGCACATTTTAATACAGGTACCGGTACAAGTGCTTGCAGTATTTGTGCCTGCATTTCTCTACACCTTGGAAATTAGGCCCTATTAAATAAAGCCTTTATTTTCATTGTCTGTTCATAAAATTCACACTGGTTCCGGTGCTTAAAAAGTTTTGTATTTGTGGAATTTGTTGCTCAATTGAAGCACATCAAATATATTTTTATGGGAGATTTTACAATCCAAAAGCGTGCCTCTTTGGTTTGTTTGCCAAACGTTAATATACAGGATCAAAGTACAATCACTGATGCATGGTAGCATGTTTCTACTCCACAACCCATTCTGTGAAATGTGATAATTGGATGATATAGCAATAAGGACAAAGGGTCATTCTGAGTCAAATCATCCAATGGGTTTAACCCACAGAGCTATATTGAATTACTAGAGCGCTAACTCCCCATTCTTGCACACGGAAACGCTTTGAAGCCGTCCTGGGTGCAGACGTTTTGAATTCATATGCATGTTTGTAGAACATAATGTAATTAGATGGAATGAATTTTGAAAGTGTACTCTAAATGCAACGCGCAAGTAGAACAAACGCAAATTAATTAAGCGTCTAATGATGGTGAAAAAAACGTCACAGCAAAAAGCATCTGCAGCGGATACGAGCACGCATTGCTCTGTTTGTGTACATGTAGAGCAAAATGAAACTTTCATTTGCTGATCTTGCGTTTCGGTTTTGGCGTATCAGCTTCAATGACGCACCGGGGGCCCCACTGGTATGGAATACAAACGCAGAGACGCAAATAGACGTACAAAAGACGTACAGAATTTCGAGTTTCCCATAGGTTTGTGCAATAACATAGATGCGCCCAGCAGGCATCACTTTGTACATGAGTCTGCTCTCTAGTAATTTAATATAGCTCCATGGTTAAACCCCACTCCCTTGAAATTAGTTCAAATGAGTGGTAAGCAAACAAAGCAAACTGAAAATGTTATGTGGTACTTTGGATATTTTGTGGAAAACATGTTTGGGGTATAATTTTCATCCGAGTTCATCTCAAGGTCATGCGATCCACAAGGTCAATTCAAGTTCAAGTAAAGGTCAAAAGGTAGCAGCACTTCAAATTGCTCCGACATAAAAATAATGGTCAATTTGAATTTGGTAAATGGTGTTACCTTTCCAAAGAAATCAAGATCAACAAATTTGGCCCACAGGCTATAAAGATGGTCTTTTGAAACTTGGCTACCACGCCCATTTTGGCCAAATCAGTGAAAAATTTGAGGGTGATAACCAAACTTTTGCAATGTGTTTCTTTCTTGGACTTTTTAAAATTTTCTCAGGGAAAGAACAAATGTATAATTTACCCAGAGCCAATTATTATCTGTAATTTAAAGTGCATATTTTTTTCTTGTTTTACTGTAGCGTGTGTACTACCTGTCTCTAGAGTATTACATTGGTCGTACACTGACAAACACCATGGTGAATCTTGGAATCCAGAGTCAATGTGATGAAGCCTTGTACCAGGTAAGTCCGGGGGGGGGGGGGGGGGGAAGATTACAGCTAGCAACATTATGCATGTTTCTTTTGACACTTTTTTGTATACACTGTGTACTGGAGGACATACATTTTAACCACTATTTTCCAGAAGACTCAGTACACAGATTTGATAGATAATGAACTAAGTATTAAAGGGAATGTACATCATTGGTTTTTGCTGTAATTTTCAGAAACGAACTATTTGAGGGGTTAGTATAATACATCAAATATTGTTACACTGACATGTTTGAAATTTTGTGTTGGAAAAACCAAGAAAAACAAAAATGTTCAAGTAGTCTGGTTCCCTGACTCCACTAAAGATAAAATGGATCAATTTATAGATGCCAGAATATTGTAAAGTAAGGGAACCAGTCTAGCTGGCCTGCACCCGTTCATGAACATGTAACCAATAGCAAACAAATTTGGACTGAAAAAAGGTAAATTTAGCGCAGTAGTTGAAAAATAGTTAGGTTTTTCCAACGGTGGTCGGCCGACCACTGCTGGAAATGTATACAAAAATACCATTTTCTTGAAAATGACTTCACACCAGGTGCCATAATTTTAAAAGATGCTTTAGACTGACATTTACCAACATCCTAGTAAGGATTTTGTAAAAACTTGGTTGTTTTATTTTTCGATGTTTGCAAATGTTGTATATTCCCTTTAAAGCTACAGTCCATCATTTGCAGCTATCCAAAAAGTAACTGAAGTAATTATCGTTGAAAATCACACTTGTTTTAAAGATAATAATGGGACTAAACTCCCTGTGAAATTACTCTTTTTGGCAAGCTGTCAAGAAAACAATGAAAGAAGGCCTTTCCAGTGATGCGTCTAGACGCATTGTTGGAAATTTCTGTTATAAGTTCGTTTAAATTTCGGCGACACGCGCACAAGCGTTGATACAACGCACAAGCGCGCGGTTGCTATAATTCGTTGTTTTAGTGCGCAACATCGCGTAGCTGCAATTTGCTCAGTGAGAACGTGTCTCGGACGCTGAATTCAAGCCCAATTCAAAACATGATTTGAAATCAAGATCCTAGAATAATGTTTTCTTGGAATGTACATCATTCACGGAGCTGAAACTTCATCAGGTTAGTTGTTCAGCAGCCCTTCTGTAGATTTTGAGCACTTTTGTCGCTTCAAACGAACACAATGCACAAATTACAAATGATGGACTGTACCTAAAAAAATTAAGGGTTGGGTTTGTTTTAAATCACAATGGTTTACAGACTTAACACGATGCACTACATGTACATGTAGCTGCTGGGAAAGGCCAAGTTGTTTAATTTGTTTTGACAGTGCTATTAGCAAGACTGAACACAGGGACGAGGAAACTATAGCAACAGCAGTAGCCATGGTACCACAGAAATGCATCAGCAACACACTGATACCAAACCTCAAACCTTTATCCCATAAGCCTTTGTACTACATTGTATAACATTGTATCAATTCCTGGGTGAATCCATAAAAAACATACAATGCAACAGTCAGGGTGGTATGGGTGGGTTAATAACCATACAAGCTTAAATTAGGTTAGTACACCACGAGGCATTAGTCAGCATTTGAAAATTTGTGTCCTTGATAAATTGAAAAAAAAAAGTTCAAGTACGGTATCCGTGTTATAAGATTTGAGGCTTTGCATGGTGGAGTATCGGCATCATTTCGGTTTGCGATAACACCATGTGGTAGTAACTACTGCTAAAAAGATATTTAGTTCTGAAAAGAACTTGTCCTGCTTATTATCAACTTTCGCTAAGTAGTTTTTGTTCTGATAAGAACAGTCCTGCTATAAGTTCTAAAAGAACTGTTCTTATCAGAACAAAAACTACTTAGCGAAAGTTGATAATAAGCAGGACTAGTTCTTTTCAGAACTAAATATCTTCTAAGCAGTAGTTATTGCCACATGGTGTTACCGCAAACCGAAACGATACAGGTATCCGTGTTGTTAATATGAATGTCATGCGCTACATGCATGTATACATTTGAATAAAAAAAAAACGGATAAAAAAACAAACAAACAAACAACACCTCAAGGGTACAGAATAAAGATGTCCAGATATCCATCTGGCAAAAAAGTATATGAAATTAAATGAAGTACATGTAAAATGTACGTGTATGTTCTAAATAAAGTTTATGCATTGTAAATTTTCCATTCACATGTACGCACGTTGGAATTTTGCTTTTCTTGCACACAGTACTTAACCCACTTCTTATATGTAAAGTCGCAGAAAATTTACTGCACAAAAAAAGGAAATTGACTGGAGATGAGTTTAAAACTGTGTCATTGTAACCTAGTTGTCGTAAAATCACTGCAGCAATTTGTTTTACAATTAGCTGTATTGTAGGATACAAGTATCTTATTAAAACATATAATATGATCATTTGCATTTATCTCAAAATTAACTTACCCAATTATTATCATGGAAATTCTTACTTGGATTAAAGATCGGACTGGTACTAAATACTCGGTGAAATAATTCCGTTTGGCTTTTTTGTTATTTAGACGAAATCAAGACGTGATTTCCAAAGATCAGTTGATTGACTGATGTTTAGAAATAAAAGAGTTCAAAATCATGTTTCATGATCCAAAAGTGGTCATGGTTTTACACTGTTTTCTCAAAAAGTGTAAAATCCACAGAGCTGAAACCTCAACAGGTTGGGTTTTGAACATTCTTTGTTGAATTTTTGAGTGGTGTTTTTTATTGGAAATGAATAACATGCATGAAACTGAATGATCCCATATGCCTGTAAAATATTTCAATGTTTGCTTGTGTCTTTGTTTGCAGCTTGGTTTGAACATTGAGGAGCTTGAAGAGATTGAACTGGATGCTGGATTGGGTAATGGTGGCCTAGGTCGCCTTGCAGGTGAGTGCTTGGTAGAGGCATCTTTTGTGTTAGCATAATTTCTGTTCACTGTACCTCAAAGATTTACAACTAAAAATGAGCAGCAGTCAGGTGGTACTTGTAGCCGTTTTATATAAATTTCTCCCCCAATTTAATTCCTGTCAGGGACCAATTGTAGAACACCATGGTCCAGTGGTTACGGTGTTTGACTCATGTACGAAGGTGCGTGGGTTCGAACCCGGCCAGGAACATGGTGTTTGTGCCCTTGGGCAAGACACTTAACTACAATTGCCTCTCTCCACCCAGGAGTATGAATGGGTACCTGTGAGGGTCGAGGACCGATTGAGCGCTGATATTGGCTGCCACGTTTTCCCATGGCCTGATGAATGGGGTAATAATTGTAAAGCGCTTTGAGATCGTTGATACGATGGAAAGTGCTATATAAGCACAATTATTATTATTGTTATTATTATTATTACATAGCTGTGCAAACCACCGAGTTCTGCCCCTGAGTGCTTACAGCGTATATCCTGCTGTTTATCTGCTAACAGTCCAGAAATACTGTGCTGTACAAATTGCACATCCTCCTTAGTCGCAGGATTTAACATACTTGTTCATTTACATGAACAAGCTATGGACACAAAACATTGAAGGTTACAGCTCAGTGGAGTGATATCTGCTCTTAACCAGTTTGTGCCGGGATTATTTTGACAGTGACCGGACCCTGGCGCGGCATTGTTTTTCACAAACCACGATACCAGACGGGTTCAGGCCTCAATGCCAGACGTCGTCTGCGGGTAGCACACCCTGATGTTTCCGACCTCACTCGTTGCGTGCTTATCCATCATCCGTTCTGAATACCCCAAAACCTTTGCGTGTGTATACACGTCATCCGACGAGAACTGGTTAATTAGAAGCCTTTAATTTGGTCCCTTTCATGCAAATGATCCTACATGTACATGCCTTTAAAGAGTAAAGTCTTGACCTTTTGTGATGAACGTCTCACATAATCATCGTGGTCTGATTGCTGCTATTACATGGACTGCAAGATTTATTTGATTGAATTGTCTGGTGAATTGAAACGTAAATTATCAGTTGGCAAAGAAACCTCTTCTTGGGACGACTTCTTACGAGTCTCCTGGCTCCAAACATACATGTAATATATCACATAAATATCAATTCATCTGAGATTTTTATTGCTATGGCGATATTTCCAGATATCTGAGCTAGAGTCAGATACTGCCTACAGACATACATGCATGTTGACTGTGCCATTAATTTACAGGCAGTTAAACAGGCATGCACATGGCTTCTAAAAACTGCCTTGGGCCGCAGGGCAGTCGGTGCTGATTTCGAGGCATTAAAGTACCTACATGTACATGTACATACATGTACGTGTAGGGAATTACATTAACGTCTGTTTTCTTTAATTAAGGAATGTCAGTCTAGTGTGAGCATACGCAGTCGTGATCCACATTTCGGCCAAGTTTCATTTGCAGCCTTGTTTTGCTGATTTGCCATTCGGGCTATTACATGACAGCCAGTTTTTTGCAAAAAAAAGTTGTCCCATTTGTGTTGTCTTCAGCCCAATAAAATGGAGCCCATTTTTCCCCCCTTTTTTCTTCTTCTCAAGTTGAGATGCTTAAGATAAAATATGCAGAGTGGTTGTGATGCAACAATGAGTGGTTGGAAAGCATCCGTATTGGAAAATATCTGTCTGTATACAAATTGCTTCAGGCACTGTGCTAGTGACTGGCTCCAACATTTAAATATGGTCCCAAGTGCATTGTATTTACTATACATGTAGGTGCGACAAAAACATGTATATAGACTTGTGTCAGCCATTTCGAAAAGTTGTAATCGTGCCTCTTTTGATAAAAAACCAATACCTAGCTACAGCTTGTTGGTCATTTGGGTTTCTCAATTGACCTTTAACCCTGTCATTCTATTGGCAGCTTGTTTTCTGGACTCCATGGCAACCCTGGGCCTGGCTGCCTACGGCTACGGTATCCGCTATGATTATGGCATCTTCAGTCAAAAGCTCAAAGATGGCAAACAGGTAATTGATCACTAACTCGAAGCTCTCTGGGCCTTTCTTTTTGCTAGGAACCTGAATCTTCCAAAATCTGACACTGTTGAGGGTGAAAGTTACTTTTAGGACCCCTCTATTTTTTGGGTTCGCTGAGTTTTTGAAACAACTAGGGTTAATCCATCAGCCATTGATCCTTTACATGCTTGATGGTCCCTGGAAAGTTAAAAGTTAAAGAAAAATGTCATTGGGTTCCTAGACTTTGGTTGATTTTAGAGGGGTCGTGAAGGTTTCTAACAAACTTGCTATCTGCTAAGGAATCAAAATAGAATTGAAACATGAACAGGGTTATTATGAAAATGCATTGGGAATTTTGACTTGAATGGATGCATTTAAAATAGTGGCGGGGGAATTTGGACATTTCAAAATTTGGTTATCCTAATTTTTTTAAATTTATTTCAAACTGAGTGATGGTTATCTGATTTCACTGGATTCTCCCATTCAGCTCACAGTCGCGCCATCAAAAAGTGACGAGTGAAGTGCCGCATGGGTAAAGACCATTACCATGTTGCGGCCATCTTGATTTTTTCCCATTCAAATCAACATAATTAACCAAAGCGAGGCTGGAAGGAAAATTAGTCTGTTCCTTTTTGCAAAAAAAAAAAAAATTATCATTCAGTACTGTTGTTGGATACAGGGAACATGACTGAAATGGTGGCAGCATGATAAAGGTCTATAGTTTAGCAGGATTCAGACGGAGCCCTAATGTTAAAGAAAAAAAAAGGTGGGAACTCGCTGAATGGGCAGGCTATTCACGAGCCAAGAAGATCACTTGCAATTGAGTGCAGTTAAAATCAGAGATCATAGAGCAAAGTGGGGGATGTTCTAGTTGTTTTCTTTAGGTTGTGTGACAAAACATGGAAGGGTCCATTTTTACCCCTCAGCCGAGAGGCTCGAGGGGTATTGTCATCGCCTAGGGCGTCCGTCCGTCCGGATGTATGTCTGTCCGTCCGTCCGTCCGTCCGGGCAGCTTAGTTTCCGGATGATAACTTGAGTTAGAAATGTTGTTTGGGGTTGTAACTTCGGTAGGGGGTTGCCCTTGGGAGTAGGCAAGTTGGGATTGGTTTTGAGGTCAAAAGGTCAAAGGTCAAGGTCACCATGGTGAGTTAAATGTAAATGGTTTCCGGATGATAACTTGAGTTAGAAATGAGATTTTAGTGTCTAACTTTGGTAGGGGGTTGCCCTTGGGAGTAGGCAAGTTGGGATTGGTTTTGGGGTCAAAAGGTCAAAGGTCAAGGTCACCGTGGTGAGTTAAATGTAAATGGTTTCCGGATGATAACTTGAGTTAGAAATGAGATTTTGGTGTCTAACTTTGGTAGGGGGTTGCCCTTGGGAGTAGGCAAGTTGGGATTGGTTTTGGGGTCAAAAGGTCAAAGGTCAAGGTCACCGTGGTGAGTTAAATGTAAATGGTTTCCGGATGATAACTTGAGTTAGAAATGAGATTTTGGTGTCTAACTTTGGTAGGGGGTTGCCCTTGGGAGTAGGCAAGTTGGGATTGGTTTTGAGGTCAAAAGGTCAAAGGTCAAGGTCACCGTGGTGAGTTAAATGTAAATGGTTTCCGGATGATAACTTGAGTTAGAAATGAGATTTTGGTGTCTAACTTTGGTAGGGGGTTGCCCTTGGGAGTAGGCAAGTTGGGATTGGTTTTGAGGTCAAAAGGTCAAAGGTCAAGGTCACCGTGGTGAGTTAAATGTAAATGGTTTCCGGATGATAACTTGAGTTAGAAATGAGATTTTGGTGTCTAACTTTGGTAGGGGGTTGCCCTTGGGAGTAGGCAAGTTGGGATTGGGTTTGGGGTCAAAAGGGCAAAGGTCAAGGTCACCGTGGTGAGTTAAATGTAAATGGTTTCCGGATGATAACTTGAGTTAGAAATGAGATTTTGGTGTCTAACTTTGGTAGAGGGTTGCCCTTGGGAGTAGGCAAGTTGGGATTGGTTTTTGGGTCAAAAGGTCAAAGGTCAAGGTCACCATTGTGAGTTAAAGGTAAATGGTTTCCGGATGATAACTTGAGTTAGAAATGCAATTTTGGTGTCTAACTTTGGAAGAGGGTTCCCCTTGGGAGAAGGCAAGTTGGGATTGGTTTGGGGGTCAAAAGGTCAAAGGTCAAGGTCAGCATGGTGAGTTAAAGGTAAATGGTTTCCGGATGATAACTTGAGTTAGAAATGAGATTTTGGTGTCTGACTGAGGTAGGGGTTTGCCCTTGGGTACAGGCAAGTTGGGATTGGTTTTGGGGTCAAAAGGTCAAAGGTCAAGGTCACCGTGGTGAGTTCAATGTAAATGGTTCCGAATGATAACTTCAGTTAGAAATGAAATGTTGGTGTCTAACTTCGGTAGGGGGTTTCCCATTGGTACAGGCATGTTGGGACTGGTTCTGGGGTCAAAGGCCAAAGGTCAAGGTCACCACGTGAGTTAAAGGTTAATGGTTTCCGGATGATAACTTGACTCTGGCTGAGGGGTTTCAACAGCAACGCTGTTATTTTTTAAGGTTGGTTTGGAATATCCGGTTACCAAAATTCACACCGATTAGTTGAATTGAAACTGATTTTTTTTTTAAATCCGGATTTTAATCCCACCAGTAATTTAAAATCAGCATCTTCAACAGTGCTCCCTTTTGTGATGAGGTTTTAACAAATAAAGGACCTTACCTAGATGCAATAGACCATTACCATGTTGCGGTCATCTTGATTTTTTTCCTATTCAAATCAACGTAACCAAAGTGAGGCTGGAAGGAAATAGTCTGGTTCCTTTTTGCAGTACTGTTATTGGATACAGGGAACATGACTGAAATGGTGGCAGCATGATAAAGGTCTATGGCTTGGATGCTCGTATAATTTTTGAGCCCTAAGTGGCTTGCAAAGACTCCTGAGTAGTACTGCTCATTTGGCCTTGGATGCCTCCTTTATCCCCCTTCCCAGATTGAGCTGCCTGATGACTGGCTGCGTTACGGCAACCCCTGGGAGAAGGCCCGGCCTGAGTACATGATCCCTATCAACTTCTACGGTCACACGGAGCACAAGGATGGCAAAGTCAAATGGGTTGACACCAATGTGAGTTTTTTCATTCACAAGCTAAGGTTTGAGCTAGGGCTAGATTTCACAGTTCTCTGCAACTAGGCCATCGATCGGCCTCGGTACAAAATTCTGGCCACTGACATCAAATGAGGGGAATAATCGTCATACAGATTTTTGGCAAGGTATACACATCCAGAGTTGGAAAATATGTGATAGCATTGCAGCGGTGGCAGCTTTTTGGGTGTTATCACCCTTTTTTTCAAAATGGCCATCGAAATGCTTGTTACCACTTTAGAGGCGGTATACCTTGCGCATACGCACTATAATCATTTATGCCCTGATTTGATGCTGACCAAACCCCCAGGCTGATGGCCTAAACCATTTCTTGTTTCTATTTTGAAGACAATGTATGTTGGTACCAAAACTCATGTTAAGTACAAGTTTGCAGTGAAGTGGTTCAATTTTAAGTGTAAAATGAAGTATTTTATTGAGTAATTTTGTCATCTTGGAGCCTGTCATTGTTCAACATATTAAGATTGATGCAAGAAACTCAACGTTTTGTGTTTGAAGTAGATGAATTGCAATTTTGCCCATGACAGAGTTTTTAGAGTTGCTGCGTAGTTCCGCAGAAAGTTGGACACAATTGTTTTTAAAATGGTGGGCAGAGATGATTCAACGACTGAACTTTGCGTAACCAAACAGAAATCACACATGCACCCAAACAGCCGTTGTAAATGTTGTTTTTATCCTCATGCAAGATTTAATTAGGCCAAAAAAAATAATAGTTCTGCTTCCGGTTTCCCTACCTACCCTATTCTGACAGCCCCTACCCGAATTTTGTTTATGGGAAAAATGAGAAAAACACACCCAAAACCATCAATTTCTACCTTTTACCCTTGACTACACACGGACGCCTCCATATGACCTTACACAAAAAACAATTTGCCCCCCCCCCAAAAAAATTTCCTACCTACCTACCTACCCTTTTTTCGAATGCCATGTAATCGGAACAGAATTTTTTTTTTTTTGGCCTTATCTGATGGAAAGCTGCACAAAGATTCATGAAAGCGGTCGTTTGTTGATTACGCAGCTGTGCAACGCATTTGTTGTGTATATCTTACGCATGCCATAAGTTACGCTCTGTTTCGTTAAATTGGCTGTCAGCCTTTTAAACATCAACAAGTCAGTGTACCTGACGTTCAGATTGACTCACTAAGGTCGTAGGTCAGTTGGTCCTATTTGCAGGTAGTGTCTTTCAGTGTTTCCTCTGGGTTGGTGGAAGGTGTGAGGTGGTAAAATAAATTTGGTCGAAAACAGACCCCGCGAGCGCGAAGCGCGAAGCCTTTGCGGCGTGGGGTTCGGGGCCCGCTTAAGGGCCCCGAAAAATTTTGCGTTCTAGACGCTCTGTGGTGCAATGTGAGGCATTTAAGGTCACTTTCTTCTTACTTTTTTGGGCAGTATATGTGAATAAAATATTGATATAAATTATTGAAGTTTTTTTCAAAAAATCCTACATAGGCCCCTATTTATTTGTGAAAATGTAGGCCTACCACCAGGGAGTTGAGCACTTTTTGGATTTTTTTTACAACCCTGGAAAATTTGGTATAATTGGAAAGAGAATCACACGACAAAATCACTAACGTTTAAATTAGTTTCATTTGAGCTTGCATTCTGGAGAAATAATAGTTAAAATAAAAAAAATTCAATGAAATTGAAAACATGCTGAAATTTTTAGTGTCAAAATATTATTATTATTTTAACACCTCTAAATTTTCGAATCCATCAAAATGTTTAATCAGGCTTTTTATCACTCGTTACAGAAAAGTTATGATTTTTCCCCCCGTAACACTAACACCGCGCGGCACGATTGTACGGACAGACATATCTGACTCTGGGCCCACACCGCAATGCGACCACACAGCCCGCCGTAACACACGGGTAAAATACAGCTCCATTCACGGTACACACAACGCGGCAACACGGAACATGCACGTGTACGCGTAATCACGCGTTGCGGCATGCCGATAACATCGGCTGCCGGAACGGGCCGGCATTATTTTTTTTGACAAAAAAAACAACTTTCGTGTTCTCCTGAAAGTCCAAGCTTCCGAATAAACCCCCTTTCGTGGACTTCTTATGCATGTATTTTGAGGATTTTTGATTGGAAAACCATTACTTGGTACCGTTTTGTAGCCTTCGGAAAACCATGGAGAAATAAAACGAACAAATTGCATTCACCGATCGCTTGGCAGGCTGAGCAGGGTACCAGGTCATACATAATGTACGCACGCGTGCTGTGCAACCAACGATCGTCGCATCACTTGCCCAATTGCACATGAGGAGCTCACTGCGAATCAGCCGGAACGTGCGCAGCATTCTGGGACTATCTGCCTTGTTAAGCACGGAGGATATGCGTTCATTTTAGGATTGCGCAGTGTATCCATAAATGGGATCATTGTCACTTCGTCACTCAGTCGAAAATCTCGAGTCGACATGCACCCAGACTCGACCAGTAATATACACACGTACACGGACGTTGAAAAGGCTCCATACTAGCTAGAGAATTGCAGGTACATCGACTTCGTTTACGCATGGAGAAATTTCTCCATGGTTTACGGTACGAATGACGATCTCAAAGAACACTAACATTAGTCCGGAGAATTCGAAGGTGAAATACAAAGACACACACATAAAATGCACAGGTTTGATTATAATATTTTTTTATTCCTTTTTCGTACCCGTGAGGCGGCAACATTGGCCAAAAAAGGCCGAGGCGGCCTCAAAAAGTCCCGAGGCGGGCCACCTCACAAAAGAATGGGCAGGGGAAACACTGGTGTCTTTAGTTTCTGAAAATTACAATGTTGTCACCATGTCGCCCATGCAGGTTGTGTTTGCCATGCCATATGACTCGCCAGTCCCTGGTTACCGTAACAACACCGTCAACACCATGCGACTCTGGTCTGCCAAGTCACCCAACAGCTTCGATCTCACCTTCTGTAAGTTAATAAATTTTGCTTCCCACAGTACATTGAATTACTGGGATCCCCACTAAAAAGAGGTTTGCAGGTTTCTGAAAGTTCTCTGTATATTGTTATAAATAACATGACGTGTACAAACAAGAGAGGGATTTTTTTACCACTTTTCAAAGCCCCATGGATGGGACACGCTGTGAAAAATGCATGACTAATTTGTTTCTGTATGTGCACAATGGTCTGTGTGTGATCATCAGGTGTCGTCAAGAATGCATCCGAAGTCTCTCCGAGTGGTCTCCTCTAACTCTCCCTGTCTTACTGTTGAGTGGGTACTCGTACATGTAGCTCATAGAACGATGCTAGTCTTTCCGGTTCATATTCACCTTTCATGTGAATGTCTTGGTACCAAGCAATGACTAGTCTAGTCACAAACTCCCATGTTAGAATTTACCCAATTGTAATTTTGTGTCATCGATTAAACAGAAATTGAGGCCAACTTTGTATTTTATTTTACTCATCCATTAGCAGTATTTTCAATACATGTATGTCGTAAAGTGTAAGACTTTCTTTTCTTTCACAGAACTTTAATATTGTCCTTGACTGGATTAGCCTCGTCAGGACACAAAATAAACGCAAAATTAATTATAGGACGTTACGCACGTTGTAGATGCTATACATGGTGCCCGGATGTACTGTATTTGCCATAAAATCTTGCAGATTTTGGAGGTCAGCTTGCATTGATTAGGTTACTTAATTGATTACTGTGCACAGAGGTACATTTATACTTATGTGTATGCTCCAACAAATTGTGAGATTTGCAAGTCATCTCAATAAATTACAAGTAAATTACAATTCAACCGATAAAGCTATTCAAGAGTACCTACGTGCAGTGTTGTAGTACATGTACACGTATTCATACTCGTACTCGTACTCGCAAGAAAAAAAAAGGCCTGTACTCAAACTCGTACTCATACTCGTACTCATACTTATGACAATGTACAAACAAAAATGTCCTTGTACTCGAACTCTTGCAAATGTTCTCCCGCAAGTCATAAAATAAAATTAAGAGCTAAATACAGGAAACAAACCAATTTTCTACTGTTTAGGCATTGATTCCTAATTTGCCTGAATTGCCTAGTTTGACAGCAAAAAAACCTTAAAAACATGTAACACATTGAAATTTGCTCCTACTACTCGTGGCAAAGTATTCGACTAATGCTCGTATTCATGGAAATGTGCTTGACTACAACACTGCCTACATGTATGATGGACTGTATTACAGCTCTTGGGATGCCACTTTTGACATGTTAGATCTCGTGTGCTGGCCTATTTTCTAACCACATTGAGAAGTTTCGAAATTGCCATTTACGTGAATTGGTTTAATTTGTTTTTTGCAGTTAATGATGGTGATTACATCAAAGCTGTGCTGAACAGGAACGAAGCAGAGAACATCTCTCGAGTGTTGTATCCGAATGACAACGTAAGTCTTCCTCATTGTACCATTACACCCCTCTCATAGACAGGCATCTTCGTAGGAAAATTACAACTGCTTATTCATTGCCATCAGGTGTGTGTGCGTGCAGTGTGCAAAATATTCTCAACACACACGCATGTTGCTCGAAATTTCTTCGAAATACGGCACAGCCAATGCGCGTCGTGAAAATTCAACTCTCAAAATGCTGATGCAAGTGGCAATCTGTAGTCATTTGAGAGAGATCTACAATGGCAACTCCATGGTAACTGGTGTTACATTTAACAGAAGTCAAACCACTTAGGGTGGATTTTTCCCACAGAAGATCCCTTGAAATTAAGTGGTTAAACTACGTGTACAAAAAGAGGCCCACAAAATAAACCTTGCATTTGGACATTTCCTCACGCTGTGCACTGTTGGAAAAATCTTTTCAGTGCCTTTACATCAATAGAGTGTAAGTCATTATGCTACCATAACAATTTTTAAAAATTAATCAATCAACATGAGATCTCACGTTACAGTACCTCGCGTTACAGTTTGTCCTCACATCTTTGGTACAAGTTAAAACAACTTAAAACAAGTTAAAACTAAGAAACTAAAAATCAAACCAAAAAATATCTTTCGACATTGAATATAAATAATAATAAAATAATAAAATATAACATCAGTGAAGCCAATAGACCATTATCATGTTGCAGCCATTTGATTTTTTTCCCATTCAAATCAATGTGAATATGAACCTTTCTCTCTGCCTTAAAAAAAAGCTCACAATAACACTTGCATTTTGCATGTTCCGTAAGTCTAATGATAAATCACGATAAACATGTACAAAGTCATTTGGGTGGTGGTGAACCTTAGTTTTGTTTTTTAAATTGTTTTCTACTCATTAGATGTCACATTATCATAGATGTATCACATTCACAGCAGCTCATTAACGTGTCTGACATGCACGTCTGAATTTACTGAAAACAAGATGCCAAATTGACTTCCTATAATCCACAATTTTAGCCACCAAAACAGTTGTTTTTTTGGACAAAGAGTATGTTTGGCCATATTCCATCTCACTGCAACACCACAAATGAAAGGTCCTATGTTGTCCACCTGTTTCAGGTTGTAGAGGGTAAAGAGTTACGACTGAAGCAGGAGTACTTCATGGTGGCTGCCACGCTGCAGGACATCATCCGTCGCTTCAAGTCGTCTCGCTTTGGCAGCAGGGATACAGTCAGGACTGCCTTTGACACCTTCCCTGACAAGGTACAGGAGTGATACTAGGAACAAGACTTGGAAGCCATATGAAAAAAGAAATGGATAGTAAAAGAGAAATGTTGTGCTTTGTGTTCGACTTTTGTGCTAACTTACCTTGTAGTTAATGCATTTTTGGACAGCTGGGAACATTACTGAAACTATGAACAGTATTAAACATTATTATTGACATCTGACTCCCAAGTAGTAAACATATATCGGATGACTGTACAATATCGTTTTGAGATTCTATAGTCATCTGTGCGGTACAGTGGCAGCTTCGAGCAGTGCAAGATTCAATTGGTAAAAGCGAAGAATAATTCGATGAAATTAGAGAACTGAAGACGCTGAAAATACCTTGAAAGCAACCAGGATGACATTAAATATCCTGCGAGCACATCTGGCTGAGATGAATCTACCAACAGATTTTGAGACGCTGGATTAAGGATTTCAGATTAAGTCAGCCTGATATACATAATATAGGACGGCTTTTTTTTTTCCAGGGGATACAAGAATATATTGCGCTCATTATAACAATTTTGCACTCATCTTCGAATCGTGCAATATTGCTATAGCTCGTGCAATATATATTTGTATGTCCCTCAAAGCCAACTCAAAGATACGATTAAAATTTGGAGATGCCTTTGGCCAGTAATTTTCCCGGAAGCTAAGGCTAAAAAAAAAAAAGTCTTCGGTTTCTGGTATGGAGCTTGCACCAAAAGTGGTGTGGCGACGCGGCTTTTTTTCTTCTTCAAATGTTGGCTGATGACTGCAAATGGTGCCCGACAAAATTTAGTGCAAAATATATGGGAGCCCAGAGAGGCCACATAAAGCTTATACTCGACCGTAACCCCATCCAAACACACGTTAAAATTGTGCAGCAGCAGGATTCCAGTCAAACCAGTGAGTTTGGTGGTTTTGAGACATCATCTTACATTTAATTTTTTTTTTAAAATTTTGCCGACGTGCATGGCTACGGCGATGCGCGCGCAGACCAGAAACCAGAACTTTTTTTTGGGCCCAATCAGATTCCTAGAGAATTACCTAGTTTAGATAGCACTATACCTATTGAAACCAGCAGCATCACTACCAACCATGAAACAGTTATGGTGAATTGTATAGCTCATTGACACAGACCTCTTGGTTCCAATTCCCTAGATTTGCAAGCAATGAATTCCTTCCCGTGTCACTCCCTGCGGACAAGATTCAACACTTGTTTGCTTAATTTGTAGGTTGCCCTGCAGTTGAATGACACCCACCCTGCGCTGGCCATACCAGAGCTGATGAGGATCTTTGTGGACATTGAGAACCTCCCCTGGGATAAAGTAAGTGCAGTTGGGTCACAGAAAGGTGAAACAGGACTTAGAGATTAAGGTTCACAGAAAGGTGAAACAGGACTTAGAGGATGAAGTTCACAGAAAGGTAAAACAGGACTTACATGTAGAGATTAAGGTTCATAGAAAGGTAAAACAGGACTTAGAGATTAAGGTTCACAGAGAGGTAAAACAGGACTTAAAGATTAAGGTTTACAGAAAGGTAAAACAGGACTTAGAGATTAAGGTTCACAGGAAGGTAAAACAGGACTTAGAGATTAAGGTTCACAGAGAGGTAAAACAGGACTTAAAGATTTATGTTGCAGTTGTGTGAATGTTCACTTGATTCAGGAAATGGGAAAATAGTTTTCATTGAAAAGTAGAGTGGATCATTTGCAGCTAACCAAAACGTAACCGACCAAATTTAGTTCATGCAGAACCAAATAACGAGCTCCGTGGGCGAACAAGAGACGGCGCTTTTTGACCACTTTTGAGTGCTCCACATATTCTAAAATGTGTATCCTTGTGGAGACATTTCTTTGTTCTCGTGTAGTAAAGTGTTCAATTTTGAAAGTGAAGTTTCAAAATGCTCTTATATTAACCAGAATTAATTTCCTTGGCTGAAATTTGGACTTGATATCCCTTTTCTAAAACTCTTCCATTTGCAACGGATCAACCCACCTTGGAAATTCCTAGTTTTTGAGTAAAACCCATATATCTAGTTCGTGAAAACCTTGTGGAGACCTATTCATCTATAGAAATGGCCCTGTGGAGACCTTTACAATGTTTTGTTTCCTGTTGTGTGCGTGTCTCCACAAGGATACGAATTTGTGGTCAGTAGGGGGACACACCGCGTGTGCGTACTGGCGTACGGCGCGAAGTACGTGCAACCAATTCTATTTTCAGTGTGCACAAAGCTAAAGCGTCTTTACTTGAGTGTCAGGCGTTGTAGGTACTGTGTTCGAATGTCTCACCTAATGGTCATTATTATTATTATTATTATTAATCATTTTTGGTAATGAAACCAAGGATTCCTCAAAAGCGCCCTAGGCACTGTAGCTCGCAAGCCTGAAGAAACCTGTGGAGAGAAGACAATGAGAAGAAATTACAGTTTTAGAGGTGGGAGGAAAAGCCCAGGAGAATATTCTGGGGAAAACCCACGGAATCAGGTAGGGATTGAAAACCCAATCCACATATTGGCCCAGGCGGGATTCGAACCCGGGTCACAGCAGTGGAAGGCGAGGAAAGTACCGCTACGCCTTTTTGCACTGTTGAGGGAGTATGGAGCCCATATGCACGGAGCCCAATTTGGGAGAAAATCGGGTCGACCCAGCTGAGTTTTTGTTTCAGGCAGGCAAATTTTATGTGTTGATTTTCTCATTTTCTGATTACACTCTGGAGTCGTTCACCAGTCAATCTGTCAAAGAAGTTGCTCCTTATTGTGTCAAAGAAAAATCATTGACCTGTTTGGCTAGACTCGTCTGAAAAGGCTTACCATACCATATTTGTTGGATTTGTTGACAGTTAGGGAAAGTTCTATAGCCACTCGCTCCTCCAATGAAACACGCTTAGTCCAACCCCGTTTCAATCAAAATCATTATGGCATGCGTGCCTTTTCAGTAGCAGCACCCAGTATATGGAATAAGCTTCCTTATTTTATTCGGAACGCACCTTCTTTTTTATCTTTTAAGTCAGCACTAAAAACGTATTACTTCCGTCAGGTTTTTAAATAACATTCATGATGATTGACTGATTGTGGTTTTAATGTATTTTTAATGAGTTTTACTTGGTATTTAAATCAATAGATTGGTGATGTATTAGTATTTTTAATGAGCTTTTTAGTGTATTTAATGACATTTGTTTTATTTACTTTGTAAAGCGCATTGAGATTGTGTCAATGATGTAATGCGCTATATAAGAATTAATTATTATTATTATTATACCAATGTTTGTTTCAGGCTTGGGATATAACTGTCAAGTCCTGTGCATACACCAATCACACCATCCTACCCGAGGCTCTGGAGCGTTGGCCGGTGCCCATGCTGGAGCAGATGCTACCCAGACATCTGCAGATCATCTATGAGATCAATGCTCGCCACATGCAGGTCAGAAGGGAAGACTTAGGCGTTGAGTTCCTCAAACAGGCTTGATCTGGGCCAGATGTTACGTCTGTGCAGAATGAAGAGAGGAATCTCCACTTAATAAAGCTAAAAATATACAAAACTTTTTTGTAACCCTAAATGGCCTAGGGGAGGTGTTGGGGGCAGAATCCGTGGTCCCCCCCCCTCTCCCCCCGTATTTGTTTTACCTCACACCCAGATGTATTTATTTAGGCCCAAAACGTTAAAATATTTTTTAGACTGATCTCTTGCAGATGTTTTCACACAAATTTTGTGTGTCAAGCATAGCGTTAAGGTAATATCAACGCACATATGAAAGAAAAATTATGTAGAATCAGGTAGCTTAAGAAACTACTAAATAATTAACTTTTGTTAAAGCTACTCCTCAGGTGATTTTTACAAAGCTTTATTTATTATCCTTCTACAATAAGCCTGTTCGGAATTCACCTGTTCCTGCGCACAGTGATATGGGTTACGGGTCATTCGAAATAATCGAATGCTCATTGAATGGTTTACACGTAGATGGTGAGTGACAGGTTCCCGGGTGACTTTGACCGAATGGGACGCATGTCCATAGTGGAGGAAGGGCACGGGAAACGCATCAACATGGCCCACCTGTGCCTGGTGGGGACCCATGTCGTCAACGGTGTGGCTGCCATTCACTCCAACCTGCTCAAGACGCACGTGTGAGTTCTGAATCAGACAAATTCTAACAAATTGGTTTCGTTGGATTTTAATGGGTGCTGGAATGCAAGGCCCATTTGGCATTACTTACCAAGGGGCTCGTCTCAAAGTGCAAGGAACAGTGTTGTAACCTAGTCACAATCTTGAACATCGCAAGTCAACTCACAAGTCTAGTCACAGGATCTGAACAGTAACAAAGGAATGCCTTTGTCGGTTTCATTGTGACCTTGTCATCACAAAATGAGCTTAAGGCCAACAAAAAAAAGTCTCCGGTTTCTGGTATGGAGCTTGCCCAAAAAGTGGTGCGGCGACGCAGGGTTTTTTTCCCCCCACTTTTTTTCTTCTTCAAATGGCGGCTGATGTTGCAGATGACGCTTCGATCCCCAGTAAAAACTCTCAAAAATATCCTTCAGAGTGGAGCTTGAGGTGACCTCAGTAAGGCGATAAGGCTTGAGCATTCTGCACCCACTTACGATCTCGACCATCGCGAACATTCTTCGGGAAATTTGGATAGTCAAGACAAAAATCAGAGAAAACGGTAGTAACGTTATAACTTAGACCATACAGCGACATCGACATCGTGCATGTGCTGCCAGGCTAGTCATTAGTCTGCTCCCTTACATATTGCACTAATTTAAAAGCGTTTACAGGTTCCAGATGCACAACCATCGCTCCCTCAGTCTGGCTTCCAGACGCACAATTACAAAATTACAACACCGTCTGCAAATGGTGCCCGACTAAATAAAGCTTATACTCGATCGTAACCCCATCTAAAAACATGTTATAATTGTGCAGCAGCAGGATTCCAGTCAGACCAGTGAGTTTGGCGGTTTTGAGACATCATCTTATATTGAAAAAAAAAATATTAATTTTGGCGACGCACAAGGCTACGGCGACGCGCGCGCATACCAGAAACCTGCTTAAAGACAGACTTTTTAAGAATTGAGATATTTATTTATCTGGATTCTGCAGAACAAGAGCGTTCCAATGCTAAACAGCATTTAGGGGTACTGAGTTCAGTAACGGAAAGATAGACCACCAACTTACTTGAAGTTGTAAAAACTGATTCTTGAGAAAATGGCATTCTGCAGTTGCATTACAGTGAATGAACAGTCAACTGTTAATAAAGGGATGAAATAGGATTAAAGATGTTTGACAGAACAAACAATTGGAGAAAGGTAAAACAGGACTTACAGATTAAGGTTCACCTGAAAAAAAAAAAAAAATGATCACCCCTTCAAATTTTGGTTTTGCGCCACCGTACAGCAAAATCACAATTTCCGACTTTAAGCTCATTTCGAGGTAACAGCTCACAATGAATACCTTGTCAGTTGATTTGAAACTGTATGACTTGCGGTTGACTTGAATGGGACTCAGCTACAACAGTGCCATGGCATATGCCATTGGGTTCCTGGAAAGTTTTGACTTGTTTAAGATACAGTCAGGTAATACTTTCTATTACTCCACTTTCGAACGTTTCCACTTTTTAGAGCCCAATTTTTATGTGACATGTTTTTTTTTTTCCTTTGCCAAAAAGGTTTCCTGGGTGTGCAATCTGATTATTCAATTGCCTTTTTTGATTAAAAAAGAAATTGGAAATAAAATTCAGTTACGAAGCCAGAGACGAGCCTTTTTGATAACAAGAGATTTCTCATTTTTCATTTGCTGAAATCTTTGTAAATTCATTTCTTGTTACCAGCGCCGATTGTCCGTAGAAATTTGAAGTTATAATGATTCTAATTTGCAGTTTTGTGCATTGTTTACTAGAGCGGTATAGGCCTATTCAGTGTTTGTCGGCTCAACTGATGCTCCTGGACAAATAGAAAAATATCTGATGAATGGAAATTTGATTGTTTGATTTTTGAATTATTTGAATTGACTTGGCCGTATTTTGCCGTATATTTTGTCACAGTTTCAAGGACTTCTATGAAATGTTCCCCGAGAGATTTCAGAATAAAACCAACGGCATCACACCACGTCGCTGGATGCTGCTGTGCAATCTGGGGCTCTCGGAGGTCATTGAAGACGTTAGTAAATTTTTTTTATTTTATTTATTTATTTTTTTTCACATTGCACCCGGCCTATTTGTGATACGATCTGCTTAAACCTTTTGAACGGCGATTTTAGCAGTTTTTTTTTTAACCTAAAGGTGCTAGTTTTCTTTTGGACAATCTAACAGTGGGGGGGGGGGGTCTCTCAGAACTCGGGCATGACGTGACGAAATGAAATGAAATTTGGCACATATGTAGAGCAATTTAATCTGAACATATTCACAGAATTGATTTTCATAAGACAAAATGTTTTTCAATTATTGAATTTGCAAGTTAGCACACTGTTACCACAGCAAGCTGTGCTATCCATGTATTGTACAGGGTGAGTAAAAAAAAAACCGAAACACAAATGTTGGGACCATTGTTTTAGTTATGCATGTAGCATTTTCAAAATCTAGGATATGAAAGCCCAATTCATAAGCTTTCTTTTAGTACAAAAATCATTCAAATCACTCAAGTACTTTTTAAGTTACGGAATTTTAAACACAACCACCATTTTAAGGATCACAAAAAAGGTGTGCGTTCTTTCAGCAAACGAAAACAATTCACACACATCCCTATGTAATTTGTTTTCGTTTTGCTGAAAGAACACTGAACTTTACGGTGGGTGTGTTTAAAATTTCATAACTTGAAAAGTACTTGAGTGATTTGAATGATTTTTGTACTAAAAGAAAGCTTATGAATTGGGCTTTCATATTCTAGATTTTGAAAATGCTACATGCAGAACTTCCCTAAAACAATGGTCCCAATATTTGGGTTTCGTTTTTTTACTCGCCCTGTATATGGGGAAATGCGATATCGGTGGTGCGCAGCCTCAAATAATGTCGCACAGCGCGGTGACACTCGGGTCAATTTTCACAAATTTGGTATTAAAACGTGCGCCAGTCTAAAAAAGTCATGATAGCTCATGGCGAGAAACATGTGTTTGGTGAAAAGATTGCTTAAAAAATGGAAAGGGGGGGGGGGCCTTTTGGGTTTAAGAGTGTACAAAGGTGAGAGCAAGGTTTTTCCAGAAGTGGTTTTGATATTTCTGAATAAACTCCACATCAGTGTATTAGGCTGATGAAGTTAACATTTATCAGACTTTGTGAAGTCATCTTTCTTGCCCATGTCTAAATGTGTTCATTCAAGTTTAATAGTTTTTATTTATTTTGTTTCTTGCATCATTTTCTCCCCAGAGGATCGGTGATGGATGGACCACCAATCTCAGTCTCCTACGAGAGTTGGAGACTCTGGTAGATGATAGAGCCTTCATTCTGGCCGTTCAGAAAACCAAACAGGTCAGAACCTTTTTGTTTATTCTGAAGTTATATTCAACCACAGTCTGGTTTGACTATGGGCTCCGTTTGCATATCCGCTCCGTTCACAAGTACCCCCTCACCGGCAAAGAAAGTACAGTTGGGGGTGACCGACCGACGCCATCTTGCCTGACTGCAATTTTGCCGCGACGCGCGGATGTACCACTGCGTGTACATAGTACATATCCCCTGGTGTACGTGCGTCACACACAAGGAACGGTGCACGCCAACCAGCTAAATATCCCGCCCATGGGACGTCGTTGCTAGGTACAAGGGCGCCCTCTTTCATTGGCGCACGGAGCCCATAGTCAAACCAGACTGCTTATTTACCACCTACGAGAGCACCGTGGACGGGACACAACTCATGTGCGTACTGGTTTGCATGCGTGTGGTGCAAAGTACGCACGACTGATTATATTCTGAATATTGTTAAGCCTCATGTGAACATCAGGCATCGTCAGCAGTGCGTTTCAATGTCTCTCCCGATGGTCTCCCCCAACTCTCCCTTTCTTACCGTTGAGGGGGTACTTATGCACGGAGCCCATACTACCGAAGTCCTGTCCTGTTTCCTTTAGTTGTTGCTATGATTTGGAATATGGTTTGTTTAAAATCTGCGCATGCACACTACAGAGGAATTAGGTTCAGCACCCGATTTCACCAAACTCTTCTGAACTTACGATGCATCACAGCGCAGCGACGCGTCGTATCTCTATGACGCGTCGCAGCTGCGATCCATTTAACAAAACACGTCGTAAGTGCGACGCGTCGTAGGTGTATTTATAGCACAACTCGGTAACTGTTTTATGTCTTTAGTCATCGTACAGTAAATAGTCATATGATATTCAACAAAGAGTTGTCGGATCTCCGCCCAAAATTTGTTAAAACGTCAAATAAAATGGCGGCCGTGTGATACAATTTTAAAGAAAAACAAGCTCTCAGTGGACTGTATAGCTGCTTTGAAATTTTAACTGCAATATTGCAGGCTATTTCATAATTATTCAATGAATTTTCTATTTACAACTTTACACACATTGCCTTGGTATTATAATCTTGTTTATGTGATGTTTATGGCATAAAACTGGCTAAGAAAAGGACTCTTATTTTGTGATGACCACTAGACACGTCGTAACTTGCGACATGTTTTAAGCCGTTGTCAAGGAACTTATGACGCGTTCAACGCTTCGCAAGTTTCGTGAAATGGATTGTACGACGCATCGCGAGTTGCAACGTGTTACACATCGTAACTCTAGTTGCGAAGCATCGCATCGTTTAGTGAAATCGGGTGCAGGTCCTTGGGTTGAGTGTTTTTCAGGTAAAGTCTGATCAGTGCAGAATCCGCCCCCCCTTGACTTTTTTCCGCGCTAGCCTTGACAAAAACATTTTCGTGACCCGAACTGTTATGAATTTTTAGTCTCGAGCCTTGCGCATCTTTTGATACCAACAACATAAAAATCGTACCACGGGTTGCCGCGCAGCGAAAAATTTGAATTTTCCCATATACGTCGTGTACACAGAGCAGAATTACTATTTGTACATATGAATAATTAATTAGCCATAATTCCAAAACCCTTTGACCTATAGTCATGAAATTTCTTGGGTATGTTCATGATGAGTGCTCTCTGCATGTACCGAGTTTCAAAATTTTTCGTCTCTCAATGGCCGAGATCTCCCCCCCCCCCCCCCGGCTGAGAGATGGTCATAATAACTCGGCCCACATTTAAACAGTTAGGAGCGGCTACATGCCAAAAATCTGGTCCATGAACAATATTAATACATACAGTTCAACTGTCTGAAACTAAAATATATTTGGGTGAACCTGATGCTTAAGCTTGTTGGTCTGGCAGGACTTGGAATATGTGCCTTTATTTCCAGCTGTTTTTATCATTTTTTTCCTCTAAATTGGGTGCACGTGATTGTGGTTGTAATCAGTTGGCACGAGTAGGCCACACTGCCAATGACTCACAAAATTGTTTTTGTTTTTTTCTTTTGTAGGAAAACAAGATGAAACTGGCCAGCTACCTGGAGAAGAACCACAACATCATCCTGAACACGGACTCCATGTTTGACGTGCACGTCAAGAGAATCCACGAGTACAAACGCCAACTGCTGAATGCGTTGCACATCATCACCATGTACAACAGTAAGATTGCTCAAGATTCATTGGAAACCTTCACTGAAGCTTTGCTGATTGCGTTTCCCTTGCAGACCAGGATTTTTGAGGAACAGTGCCCTTATTACTGTAGGCTTCTTGTATTACTAAGGGGATTTCTAAAACGAAAATGGTTGAGCTATCACGGTGGGCAGGTGGTTTGAAAGGTTGATACATTTTTTGATACACCTTTTTCTATTCTCTATTCACAAATTCCTTAGGAATTTTTCTGTGAGCAAGAAGCATGATTTATCTTCCCTTCTGATTTTTGTTGTATTCAAGGAAAAATCTGTTATCAGAGATGTGACTTTTCAAAAATTTGATTTTGTAACGATTTTTTTCACAAAATGTCGTTTTATTTCAATCATAATTTCGAAGAAAAGCCCATGGAAATGGCATGTTAAAATCATCGCGAACGTAGTTTCAATCTCTTTCACCAGTCGTTATTGGAGTGTTTCAGCGGTAGAAACACAGGCCATAACACTGATCGGAGCCTTTTCCGGCTGGACAAAAGGTTAAACATGACAGGTGACATGGAAAAATCACTGTGTCGCACGTGCGTGCATATGTGCAAAGATGACATGCAATGGTATCACCGTACGTATACCGCACCGTACCGTCCGCTAGCACATGGCCGGTTGGGAACGGGTAGCCTCGTGAACGATCCAGTGGATAAAATCATTATGTTGTGCGATTTTCTGAGGTTTCAGATTTAGTTGCAATGCTTTAAAAATCATGATGATTATCTGGAGGATAGCGAAGAGAGCATTAGCGAAACATTTCACTGGCATTTGTTGGAAGAGAAAGACGATAATGCCAGATTTTTCCCCACGTACGAATGCAAGTGGAGTAGTGGAGTTGTGTGGTTGAATCATGAACATGATTGATGCACTATGAAAGGTGCCCTTGTCTTTCGGACTTTTTCCTCGACTTTCTCAAGTAAGAAGTGAACTTCTTTGTTGATGACTCCATTACTCTAACTGTAATTCAGGCATTTTATGCAATGAAAACACTGACCATTTTTTTGTCATTGTAAAATTTTGTTTGAATCGAAAATAAAGCAGGAGTTGGTGTCCAGAAATTGGGCATGAAGTGTATTGTACATGCATGTACATGTGTGTAACTGCAGCGCAGCCCAGATTTCGGACACATTTTTTTGTTCAGCCTATTTTCTGATTTTTCGGCCATATGCCAGTTTCATCTCTGTGTTATGCGGTGAAGACAGTCTGCAACGCAACCAAATGGCATCTGTATCTCTTGTCTACTTGAATTACCTGGCCATAAAGTCATATCCAGAAAAAAAAGAATCCTCTCTTTCTTAATTCCAAGCGTACCTCAAATATTCCCCTTCATAATTTTTTTCCAAACAGGGATCAAGAAGAACCCTAGTGGATCCTTTGTTCCCCGGACCGTCATGATCGGTGGCAAGGCTGCTCCTGGCTACTATGCCGCCAAGCAGATCATCTACCTGATCAATTGCATCGGTCAGGTCATCAACAATGACCCCATCATCGGGGACCGTCTCAAGGTGGTCTTCTTGGAGAACTACAGGGTATCCCTCGCAGAGAAAGGTAAGAGCAGGGACAATTATTTTTTTGACATAAAAGTTGTAGTCAAGTCAATGACTAGTCTATCACAGGTTAATCAGAGGTCAGTCACAAGTCAAACACAGGTTAATCACAAGTCAATCACAAGTCAATCATAGACCAATCACATGTTGATCACAATTTAATCATTAGTCAATCACAGGTCAATCACAAGTCAATCACTGGCCAATCACAAGTCAGTCATAAGTCAATCACAAGTCAGTCACAAGTCAATCACAAGTCAATCACAGTTCAACCACAAGTGACAAGCTGTTAAAATTAATCACGTCATAGGCATTCTCTTATCATGGTTCATCCCCCGATACTTGTGACTTGAGTTGTAATTTACTCTTGATTTAGTTTTGGGATGGGAAGATAATCCTCAGTCGTGTAAATTTACAAGCTTGTGAAGTTTGTTTTGCAAGGTCTTGAAGATCACTGAATAAAGGTTGGTTACTGAATTATGTCAGTAAAGGTCAGAACAAAGTTCTTCGCATTCTACCGGTATTACCGCTGAAGGGTACCATTTGTCACGGAACCCACAGAATTTTCCCATTAACAGGTTTCGTCTTCAACAATTTTGTTTATTCCATCCTCAGTGATCCCAGCATCTGACCTATCAGAGCAGATCTCACTGGCAGGAACTGAAGCTTCCGGCACTGGCAACATGAAGTTCATGGTGAGATTGAAAAAAATTGTTTCAGTCTTAAATTTCCCCTCATTCTCCATGTAAAGACAATCATGTCATGGGCGCTACGTTTCTTTAATCCTTATTGCACTTCATGTGGATTTTGAAAGATCCTGGAAGTTTAAAGTTTAAGTAATATAACCTGAGTTCTGATTTCTCACTTTCCCAAAATGACCAACAATGTGTTACGTTCAGCAGCATTTGTCAACAAAATTTGAGAAACATGTGACAATTACATTTAAACAATGAAATTTTCATGTGGGCATTTCCACGGTAATGAGATGCAAAAGCATGACTTGAGAGGGAAAAAATGTATTTTAGGACCCAGATCTACTTCCTAATAATAAATAAATTCCTTTGGATCCCTTCAACTCATTTAATACCTGGCCTTAAAATGCGTAAGAAAATAGAGATGACCAGCTTTACACTTCAAGAGTATCATATAAAATTTTGCCTGTACAAATTTCCCATAGAGAAGCGTAACGGGGACGAACAAGTGTAACACTTGTGTCCGTCCTTGTTACTTTTCACAATGGAGGATTTTTACTGAAGGCAGATCTGCAACTGACTTCTTTCCCTCTTTGCTTTGATCTTTTAGTCGTTGCTGTCTCTTCATGAACTTCCTTCAGTGATATTTTAGCTATGTGGGATGTGACAGGTTGATTTTTGAATTTTAATCAAAGTGCCCTAAAGAAAAGACCCACGTTCACAGTACAAATACTCACCATGATGTCACAAATACAGGTTTGAATTCACGTTCACTGCGAGTTTGAGCCAGCCAATAATGTTGTGTCCATTTTTAAATTTGTACTTTTCTGTCTCTGCTCTGAATCTTGCAGCTTAACGGAGCCCTGACCATCGGCACGCTAGACGGTGCCAACGTTGAGATGATGGAGGAGATGGGAGCTGAGAACATCTTCATCTTTGGCATGACGGTGCCTCAGGTGGAGGAGCTCAAGAAGCAAGGGTGAGGCAAAGGAGAGATCTGTCCAAAGTCCGATTGCACAAAATTCATTAAAAATATGAGCAATACACTCCGTAGTATTAAACAAAGCCCTTGTATCTAAGAGGCTGCTTCCAACTTCATGATCTACTTTGTACATTAGTTCAGAGCCTAACACCAATTTGAAACAACAAAGTAACATACTTGCAGTGAAAGAAGATTATACATGTTTGAAACAACTCTAGCTTAGGCCTTAATGTACAGCATGACATGGCTAATAAATGCTAACTGAATTAATTAATGATACATAAGTGAATATTTTGACTAGACCCTGGCACAGGATTGCTTTTCATGAACCTGGATGTCAGATGGGTTCAGGCTGTCATCTGCGGGTAGCACACCCTGATATTTCCTGCCTCGCCTGCTGCGAGCAGGTCGCAGACAGATATTTCCGGCCTCGCTCGTTGCGTGTTTATCCGTCATCGGTTTCGAAGACTGCAAAACCTTGTTAACTCCACTCAAGGAGAATTCACACATTCCCTCTTCTTTTCATTATAGATACAATGCCAAACAGTACTACGACAGGAACACAGAGCTGAAGCAGGCCATTGACCAGATCAGTGGAGGGTTCTTCTCTCCTCACGACCCTGATGCTTTCAAGGATCTCGCTAATGGCTTGCTCTATCATGACACGTAAGTTGTCGTCCTAGAAGAACTGCTTTTAGGTGGAAATGAACAAGCTCAAAATGATCTCGGAAGCTGCAGCCCAACTGTAGTCCTGCTGTAGCCTATAAGTCATGTACATGTTGTAAATGTCTGTTCTTATAAGGCACAACTACTCACTGGGTCGGTACTGTTAATTGAAAAAGATTCCCATTTGTTGAACGTCAGTTGGTGCGTGGAGCGTTTTATAGCTTGTGGAACGCCCAATTTGTGTGCAGTACAGTGCCAGCCCCAATGCGAAATGAGTACCCTCAGTACAAACATCTGGTTTTTGACTCCAGTGACCCAATTTTCTATGACTGCAATAAATTGGTAGCTGGTCAGTGGAGACCTCTGAACCTGTCGGAATTCAGGGCCATGAACCTGAGGCACGTGTTGTTGCGAGGGCCTACCGGACTAGGTGATTGATTGCCATAAAAGGCATGTGCTGACGTTTGTTACTAACCAACCAACCAACGGAGAAACATGATGATTTCTTGAGCTGCTTTCCGCAGCTAAAAATAGTCCAATTGTAGGAGAAAGAATATTTCGGTACTTCAGACTTGCAATTTTGTGCGCAGAAAGATTTGGCAGTTTTGAAAATTAGAGATGTGGAATTTGCAGTGCTTGCGTTCTGTAATTGTACCAGTAAATAGTTCACAACAAACAAGCTTTCCTGCAGACATCAACCAGGGTTCTAAATAATGGGTCAAATCCATTAACGCACTATACTGTGGGGTGCTGTGGCCTCGTGGTTAAAGATACAGTCCATCATTTGTAATTTGTGCATTTTGTTCATTTGAAGCAACAAAAGTGCTCAAAATCTAAAGAACGGTACTGAACAACTAACCTGATGAAGTTTCAGCTCAGCTTCAGCTGTATATTCTGAGAAAAACATTCTAGGATCTCAATTTCAAATCAAAAGTTGCTGAATCATGTTTTGATTTGGGCCTGAATTCAGCGTCAGAGACACGTTCTCACTGAGCCGATTGCAGCTACGCGATGTCGCGCACTGATCCGACAAATTATAGCAACCGCGGTTGCGTGTGCGTATGCTTGCGCGCGCTTCGCCGAATAACAAAACGAACTACTAATTTAAATTTCCTATGGTGCGTCTTAAGAAGCACTGTTGGAAAGGCCTTCTTTCGTTGATTACTTCAAAATGACAGCTTGCCATAAAGAATAATTTCACAGGGAGTTTAGTCCCCTTGCTATCTTTCAACCAAGTATGTTTTTCAACAATAATTACGCCAGTTACCTTTCGGATAGCTGCAAATGATGGACTATAGCTTTAAGGGCATTGGATTCGTGGTCTGCAGGTAAAGCTGCAGGTTGTGGGTTCAAGTCCAGCCTGGGGTCAAGGTGCGTGTGCCCTTGGGCAAGGCACTTTGTCACGCATTGCTTCTCTCCACCCAAGAGTAAATGGGTACCTGGGAAGGTACGGGCCATATGCGCTGATATTGAGCTGCTGCAGAAGTGATCTTGTGGCCTGATGAACAGGGGTAATAATTGTAAAGCGCTTTGACACCTTTGGTATGAAGCGCTATATAAGCACCACATTACTATTGTTATTATGCATTACTGCGAGCAACCTTGGAGACCAAGAATTCACCAGGGAAGAATAAGCCATTTGCGAGTAACCTATACCCTTTGGGATTTACATTTGAAAAACATCTGGTACACTGACTTGCTCAGACTGCTTGGCACATTTTAACTTTTAATTCTCCAGACCAAAGACACTGTTGCTAATCACATGATTCGGGGCAAGCTCTTGCATAGTTACGTAAGAGACGCTCAGGACCAATACATTGTTCACAATGGGTGAGAATGACACAAAGACACCAGACCATGCCGGAGCTGGGGGTTGCTAGCATAAGGCTTGCCCCGAATCATGTGATATAGTAACAGTCTCTTTGGTTGGGAGAATGCTAGGTTAAAACGTGCAAAGCATTGTATTAAGTCAGCGTGCCAGATTTAATTCAAATTTAACTCGCAAATGGCTTATTAACTAACAGTTTTAGATTTAAAAATGGTTGAACTCTGATGAGATATTGTGGCAATCATTACTGTGACAAACTTGCAGGTACATGCTACTTGCTGACTATGAAGATTACATCGCCAGTCAGGAGAAGGTCAACAAACTGTTCATGGTGAGTAACATTGAATCATTTTTATGCCCCGCGGCGAAGCCTAAGGGGCATACTGTTTCCGCCTTGTCCTTCCGTGGGTGGGTGTGTGGGTGTGGGTGTGTGAGCTTGTCTTACATACGCAGTGTGGACTTCCGAACAAAACACGTCCACATAATGTAGGTAGCACCGACGTTGTGTGGACTTGCCCACGTCCACACAGTGTTTCCCCATTTCTGGAAAACAGGTTTAGAGGCATTTTTGGGTTAGGTTTATCTGTAGCAGAATGAAGAGAAACACTATAGGGAATCATAGAAAAAAAATTGGGTTGTAAGAGTTTTCACAGTTTGAGAAAAATGAGTTTTTCCACTGGTGTTCCTTAACTACACGAAAAGAAAGGAAAGTCCACACTACGTATGTGAAACAAGTCTGGGTGTGGGTGGGTGGGTGTGTGTGTGTGTCCGGACAAATCTTGTCAGCGCGATAACTTGAGAAATACTTAACATATGAACTTCAAATTTGGTTTGTGGATTGTTCTTGGTAATCCTAAGAAGCCTTTTGCATTTGGGGCCAAAAGGCCAAAGGTCAAGTTCACAGTGGCTGAAACAATAGAAATCTTGTCAGCGCGATAACTTGAGAAATACTTTACATGTGAACTTCAAATTTGGTTTGTGGATTGTTTTTGGCAATCCTAAGAAGCCTATTGCATTTGGGGCCAAAAGGTCAAGGGTCAAGTTCACAGTGGCTAAAACAATAGAAATCTTGTCAGCGCGATAACTTGAGAAATACTTAACATATGAACTTCAAATTTGGTTTGTGGATTGTTCTTGGTAATCCTAAGAAGCCTATTGAATTTGGGGCCAAAAGGTCAAGGGTCAAGTTCACAGAGGCTAAAACAATAGAAATCATGTATTTATTCTGAGATTATAGGGATTAGGGATTAATTCATATAAAACCTACAGAAGACACTAATGCTGTCAATGAATGTTCCATGTGACCAAGGTACATGTAAGTTGATGTTAAAAGAGTGGTGTTATGTCACGGGAACTGTCACCGTTGCGGGGCATTTGTGTTTGTAAACACACCTGACTTGTTGTTGTTGTATTCACTGTGCGTATCAGTTGTTGTGTTTGTAGACTAGACGTGTGGCCGTTCTAGACCAAGAATATAAGTCATCCCATGTGCGCAATAATGTAGTGCTTCAGTGTCCTATATGCCACACCATATGGGATGCAGACATCCTATATTACTCTATCTTCCACAAAGGCAAAGTGAGATAACAAACGTGATGCACAGTAAAGATGCAACACGTAACATTTCAGCTGTCATCCCAGCAGGAAATATGCACAGCTAAGAATTAGTGCACGATACGCGAGGTGCAATATGAACTGTGCAATATTATACAAATATTGAGTGGCTCAGAGTGAAATGAGAGGAATATTATCGCAAGGTAAAATCTGGACTTTCGCCTTATGAACTGAAAAAGTCCAGATTTTACCGAGCGATAATATTCCTCCCGTTTCACAATTTAAAGCCACTCAATATTTGTTTTATATAACTGACATATAGATCCTTGTCATTTAATATACTTGATCTTTTATTTCAATACAAAATTGGTGGAAAATGTGTTTCTCTCTTCCAAACCACCCCTGCGCAAAAATGTTTGAACCCAACTCTGTAGCGCTGGCTCGTTGGAACAATACGCACTACGCGCAACGCTGAACACGCACACCAGCATGCATTTGCACACAAATACCACGTCATGGAACATCGATACTAACTGTTCAATAGTATTCCCCATTCCCCATGGGCGGATTAGTACTTTTTGAGCCCGGCGTGAATGGGAGTAATAACAAATGTCACGTGATGTGAGTTCCACCAATCAAATGACAAGGATCTGTATGTCGGTTATGTTATATAAGAGATAATATTCTGTTATCTGTATGTTATATAAGAGATAATAGCACACTGTTGTTTCCACGGATCATCCAATCAGGATTAAGGACCCAAATTTGCCTGAAGATAAAATTGCGGATGGGTTACTTTCAGCACCAGTACCGCTCTTAATCTTTGATCCCTCCTCTTTCTCAGCAACCCACTGAGTGGACGAAGAAGTGCATCCTGAACATCGCAGCCTCGGGCAAGTTCTCCAGCGACCGGACCATCAGCGAGTACGCCAGGGACATCTGGGGGGTGGAGCCGAATGCCATCAAACTCCCCCCGCCCCACGTCGCACCGGAGTTCCGAGAGCAGGCCATCAACGCTAGCAAGGACTCCGCCCAAGGTGAAAATAGGCATGTGTCATATTAAAGTAGTCAAGAATTGCCAGACTGTCCAAATTGTAAGAGAATATAGCCAATATATTTTATACCTTGTACTGTGCAAGCCTAGAAGTAAAGAGTGTTTTTTTTTCATACATGTTTTAAAGGCCGGTTCATACTGTGCGCAAAAATGGATGTGGAGAATTTGTGATGTCATGTCAAGTATTCGCACTGGAAATTTGCAATAATTTGAACAAATTTGAACTCCGACAAATTTCCTGATGAAGATTTGCGATATTAAGCTCGCACCACATTTGCATTCACATGAAGTATGAACCAGGCCTTTAGATGGTATTTAATAATTCTGCTTCAAGTTTGATAATTGAACTGATGAGATACAGGCATAGTTACGAAATGAGCCAAAACACCGATTCCAAAAAACCAGCACTATTGCTTTATTCTGTAGGGGGTGTCTAGGGTGGTAATGGAACCTTCAGGGGACAACTCCTGTAGTCCTACAGGTCTGGACTCACGTTGCCAGCAAGGGCTTCGGAGTAATTAGGGGGGTAACACTTACCCCCCAGGACTCTGAAAGAATATCTGGCGATCCACACTGACAAAGGTATTACCTTCAAATGAGTTGGATGCCTCATGGTCCTGCCTTGTCACCAAATATGCTTGCAAAATGGTTGTAGTCAAGTCCATCACAAGTCCTCACAAGTCATCATAAGTCATAAGTCATCATGAGTCATAAGTCATCATGAGTCATCATAAGTCATCATAAGTCATCTTAATTCATCATAAGTCATCATTAGACATAATAAGCCATCGCAAGTCATCAAAAGTTATCATAAGCCATCATAAGCCATCATAAGTCATCATAATTCATCATGTCATCACAAGTCATCATAAGTCATCATAAGTCATCATAAGCCATCATAGGTCATCATAAGACATAAGCCTCTCAAGTCATCAAAAGTCATCATAAGCCATCATAAGTCATCATAAGTCATCATAAGTCATCATAAGTCATCATAAGTCATCATAAGTTATCATAAGTCATCATAAGTCCATCACAGGTCATCCAGTCCCAAGTCACAAGCTATTTGAATCAGCTGTAACACGGACATTCCTTCATCGTTCATCCTATGTTCCTTGGTCACCAATCTTGTGATTGAACTTGTGATTGTCTTACGACCAGACTTGTAATGGACTTGACTGCAATACTGGCTCACAAAGGGAATGCTGTGGTCATTTGTGCATGCTTAGTTATAATATTAAATAGACAAATAATTAAAAGGCATTAAGCTACTGAACCGGTACTTGTCCTCGGTTTTGCTACGCAACTGGCAGCAATAATGCGCATACGTCAGATCTTGATGTCAATTGAAATAATGTTATCAGGTTTAAATTTTCGGTAGCTGTCAAAGAACCTCGGTGGTCTTGTGGATAGCAGTGGCATCTGTGGATCATCAGGTCGTGTGTTCAATTTCTTGTGGGGATCTAAATGTTCGTACTGTATTCCTCCAACACAAGTCATACTTCTCAGTGAAATGAAATTTCCCTTTTTTGCGATTCATTGCGTTGGAGGTTTTCTTTTTTTTTTAAGGGCTGGCAGACGTATTTCTGTGTCCGTCTGTGTGCCACTGCACTCAGAGCAAGGTGGATTGATCGCGCGAGCTCGTCAAGGTCTGCCGGTTACGTAGCCTTACGAAATCGAGAACAGTTACCGGATCCATAGCGACTGCCTAAATAAGATTGAGAGTTTATGGAATGCCTGACTAACAAAGTTAGCTTATGGGCATGTGTCTTGAAATGTTGCCTCCCAACAGTCGAATGCCAGTGTTGGGGAATATTCCACTTTTTTTGTGGGTTTGGGGGGGGGGGGGGGTGAGAAGGGAGGTATTCAGAATTTATGATAGATTGTAACAACTCATGGAAGATGATTGTTTTGGAGTGTGGGGAATTCAAGAAATACCCTTTTATGACTTGCGTGCAGTCACAGTTTGTCGGTTTTACACACTGATATTCTGGATTTTTCTCTCTAGCTTGAAGTGGAAGAGAGGGAACAGTAGATAGATTAACGAAAAGCAATAAGATAACTTGCATCAAGCTATACCATAGAACTAGCTCTATGGTTATATACCAGTTCCTAAGCCGTAGCCCTAATCCTAACCCTGTCAGTTTCTACCAAATTCTTTGGAAGGTTTTAGGAAGATACTTTGGCAGGATTGAGGAAGGCTTTCAAAAGTATTCCTGAAAGGACTTTTTGAGGATGCCGAAAGGTTCCTAGACAGAATGTGAAGGGAGTTAGGGTCAAGGCATAACGCTAGACTTCAAATCTCAATATTTTGATAATGTGGAGTATCCATTCAATGTAGTAATACTTCTTTTGGTGATACCGGTCCATTTGATCATGACGTGATATTGGTGGCTCCTGAGAGAGCACAGTTTGCTATTTTTTGTAATACTGTGAATGCTTTGCATGATGTTGCCGTGTGGTCAGATATTTCAAAGGTAGTGTAGAGGCCATCTTAGAGGGCATCTATTGTTATTTTAATTCAGTAACAGTGTATGCACAAAAGGTTCACTCATGCATATCCCAGTCAAACAAAGGCATTGCCCTCTGAGATAGCTCCTATATATAATGTCTATTATACAAATATTGAATGCTTCGAGTGGTGTAGTAAAACTAACCTCTTGAGGTGATCCATGGACCATTCTATTTTCCCGAGGCGAAGCCGAGGGAAAATAGAATGCTTCATGGATCACCGAGTGAGACTAGTTTTACTTCACCACGAGATGAAGCATTCAATATTTGTTTTATAACACTTCACCCACAGATTCTGATTGATTTTAATATTTTAAATTATTGAAATCTGAACACAGTTGAAATAAACTTCAATTTCAATTCAAAATTGGTGGAAAATGTATTTCTCTCTTCCAAACTACCCCTTCACGAAATGTTTGAACCCAAGTCTGCGGCGCGCTCTCTTTGGAACAATACGCGCTACGCACAACACGCACACCAGCATCCATTTGCACACAAATACCGCGCCGTGAAAATAGTACTTTGGTTGCTAATGGTATAGTACTTTGGTTGCTATGGGTATAGTACTTTTGGCCGTGCACAGAAAGATAGCAAAATTAGAAAGTAACATGTGACTCGCTCTTGGCCAATCAAGACACAGAATCTGTGGGTGAGGTGTTATAATTCCAAGTCAAGCTTACTATGGACTGGCTATAAGCAAAAGTGCATGTGGGAGCGTTTGCCGAATTCCAAAATGGTTTAACAGAATTCAACCATTACAAGTCTTTAATGTACAAGACACTGGTTATTCAAAGTGTGTTCTCTTTTTCTTTTCTCATTTTTTTTGGGTTCCAACTGTGAAGAATTCCATGATAAACTTATCATTGCTAGAGCCCGTCTCAATTCATAACCGGGACAAGTTACAGACAAGTTGCGGGTAGAATCATTCACTTTGTCCAGAGGAAGCTCTGCATTTGTCCCAAACATGTTCCAGGAAGATTTTCATTAGGAACTGCTTGACTCACCAATACTGATGACTTCATTGCGGGAAGATTGCAGGGAACTTGTTCAGAATCCTGCAACTTATACCCGATACAATGTCTGCAATTTGTCTGGAACTCGTTCCAGATATGAATTGAGAGACGGGCCCTAAATGTAGTTCCGGCATATACACTGCTACTTCCAAGCTTTGTACATTTAAAAAAGCACATTTAAAAACGTTCATATAACATAAAGATGATTTTTAATGTTTTCATCGGTTTTGAACATGTAAACGTTAGGTACAGATAGTTCAACATCTTATTGCACGTAGCATGAAGTATATAAACTTGCAGTTAAGAGGAACAACATGCATTTGCAAATTATTGACATTGTAGTTATTGATTGTTTCGATGTAGTCCATGGTGTTTTTTGTACACCCGAGGGGTGTAAATGGCACCTGAGATACAGCTGGGGTGCCATTTACCTAAAAGAGCTTTGGTACACCATGATATACGTGTAATTAAAATTTAGAGTCTGATACCGTAGTGTAACAAACATATTTATAAACCATGTAGCTCTTGATTAAATACTTAAAGTACCAAATTTTTGCACCATTTTTTTTTTCACTCATTGTTAATACAGCTCATAGTGCTTTTTACACGCACTTAATTTCTCCTTTAAAAGCAAACAAAATGTATGCAGTATCTTTATAGAATAACTTCCTGTGATATATTAAGTGCGATCTAGTGCTGCTCTTCCTTGTGGTGATACAAATGTAAGTATGTGTGCAAATCATGGTTGCGGTTGATGAAATATTGGCTAATGTTATTGGTGAGAACAGCAGAGTCAGTGCTGTCTAGGGTTGTGATGTTTACACATTTTAAACGAAGAAAAAAAATGATCTTTTTACAAATTTACCAAAACGTTTAAACGAAACCCGAAAAAGGGACCATCGCTCACGTGATCTTCCTCTGAGTTAAAAATACACAGCACAAACAATAAACAATGTTTTCACACCTATTTAGTAAATACGAAACCTTAGAAGTAAAATAATTAACCCTAGAGCAAGGCTGAGCATAATCAATTTAGGGCTATAAATGAATGCGCTTAGTATGCGCTTACAGTAACGATGTAGTTTACTAACAGATGTAGAGAATGGACAGAAATTGATGTCAGACTGTAACTTAACCCACATATAATAATAAATGGACACCTGGTACATATTTAGCTCTTTGATTGGTCAGAGAATGTTGCACCTATACCCTCAAGTTAACTGATAATGTCTGCCGTGAGCGATGGGCAGTTTGAGTGTGCAGATACTGTTGTAGCAGTTCTTAGTGTACATTTGAAAATTTGAATGAATTAGTTACAGCTGTAACACATTTTAGTCTAATACTTCCCCATTCCACCCCGAGTGGCATATTAGAGTAGGCTTTAATACTGGTACCCGACACCTTATCCAAGGGTGCCGCGGATAGTTAATCTCACTCGCACAATCGTCGTGCAGGAGGTATGATGCATTGTGGATAATTATCATCATTATCAATTCGCATAAATTAAATGGGTATTGCGACCCTGGGTCAAAGCTTAAATAAAAGCTGTCCAATGAGAGCTAAAAAGAACTTAGCTGTCGCCAGTGTTTCTGGGTACCAGTTTACAGTTCATCAGCTGTAGCTCATCGGCGTGAGTTACATTTTGAAAGTTTTCCTGCACCAAGGCTTTTAATTTAAGATTGTTCAAATTGCGGCACTGATGCACACATGCAATGGAATATTATGGTGCTCCCACTGAGAAATATTTGAATTTAGGCCAAATCAAAAAAACAAACGTGTTTATCGTCCCCGCCCGCTTCCTTTTTGGAGGCCGCCGCCTTGTTTTTATTGAAAAACAAAAACAACCAAAAACTTATTAATTTAATGATCTTTTTCGGAAAAAAGTCGTACTTTTTAGACTCTAAAAGCTGGTATGTCATTTCCTGAGTCCAAGTGGCAGCCACTTTAAAATAAAAGCTGGCGGCCATCTTGAAAAATAGCCCTACCGGTCGTTTTGGAAAATGGGTTTAGGTCATTTTGGAAAAAAAAGCCTCCCTCCTTTTTTCAAAAAGGCAGGACGCTAAACATTTTTTTTTATTTGGCTTTGTCACTGAGTGATTGTTTAAAAGTACAGTTGCCGTTGTGGTGATTGTGTTTCAAATTTGACTTATAAAGCAGTTTCTTCTGTGATATTTGGTACAATTTTAATAGTGCTCATTGCAGCTGCTCGTTAGATTAGGAGTTTTTTACCCTAAGGCTCTAAAGAAATAGCTCCTGATGTGAAGTGAGAATATGTAATGTGGAATGTACAGCATGTACAATATATCAAAGGAGTAATTTAGAGAAAAAGAAATAAACAAATTATGGTTTTATAAGGCAGTCTTTGTAACAGTGCTTGTTTGATGTAGAATGAATATGTTTTGCTGCAAGAACCTCTGGCTTTTAAAGAAAACAGTTGAAGTGTGTAGCCCAGGGCCCAAATTTATAGAGCTGCTTTTAAAGCAAAAAAGCACGAAAAAACATTGCTTAGTAAAATCAGGTTACCGGCCAAAACTCCATGTGATGTACATTGCTTGTGACTGGTATTTAGTTGTTGTTTACTTAGCATAACAGTCGCAAGGAGTTTTGGCCGGTAACCTGATTTTATTAAGCATGACTTTTTTGTGCTTAAGCAAATTTTGTGCTTAAGCAACTCTATGAAATTGGCCCAAGCATAGAGGCCTGGGTTTCAGCTATCGTAGACGGCA